TTCTCAGCCATCACTCCTGTGAGACAAAGCGAGGGGAGATAATGCTATGATAAACGAGCGCTGCAGCCCCACATGGAGTGACATTTTCCTGCCCACGCACTCCTACCACCATCCAGAAATCCTCAAGTGCGTCCCTTGGCTCACTCAGTGTGCAGGAGGACATACTTATTGTCTGCTTTCCCAGAATCCGCCTTCATCAATGCTCATGACTCATTTGCTCCATTCAGCAGTTTTGGCAAGAGTTAAGGGGACAGGACACCCCAACACTGACCTTTTTTTTTTGAAGAAAAAAAAAAGAAGAAGAAGAAAGTCGCCCAAGTATTTGAGGCTCAGTCACCCTTCATTTCCTGTCTTCACTGCATATCAGACAGTCTACAGGGTATTACTAACTGTCCTTTTATGACACCAGCATGTGATGATTTATATGTGATCTCATCAGTACTGCAGGTTTGTTGTTGGATACGGCATTTAAAACCTATACTGTCAGCAATACGTTTTGGTCATCAAATTACCCCAAGAGTCATTTTGTAGGTTTGACTCATTAATAAGCATTTGTCTCAGCGAAGCGTATTGAAAACCCAGATTTTTCATTTTAGATGTTTTGTATGTATTAAGTCTACAGTTCCTGGCGTCTACTGACAGCCAATTAACTATTTCGACATGAAAATCAATAAGCAGACCCCTGCAAACTGCCTGAATTATGTTATCCATTATAGTGAAAATCCAGTCTGCTTTAAGTTCTGTCACAGTAATGAAGAGGTAATACAGTGCAAACATCGCTGCCCAGATGAACCTTCTTTAAACCGGGTTTTCTCATACACAAAAATGAATTCAGACTGGTTTCTACTGTGGGGAATTTGAAAGGAAGTTTCCAGTTCCTTCTCATATTCATACCACTGTCTGCTACAACAAAATCTGAGGTACAGAGAGCCCTACAAAACGTTCTTTATCAAATCCTCTCAAGCCTATGAAAAGTCTGACACTTTGGGAAACACACCTGCCAAGTGCTAGAAGAGAAGATTACGACCACTCAAACATTAAACATTAGAAAGATTTAAGACCAAGCGGCGAGTTAGCTTAGCTTAGCATAAATTCTGGAAACTGAGAAACAGCTAGCCTGAATGTGTCTTAATGTCAAATAAAATCTGCCCACCATTTATAACTCAGTATGAGTTTGAGAAAACAACAATTCTTCTTTTAGCCTTCTTATAGTTATAGGTAGAGCCAATGAGGTTTTGGTAAAGGTACATTTTGTTACCCTTAAGCCAATTCAGGCTAGCTGTATCATGTCTTAATGCTAAGCTAGGCTAACTGGCTGAACTTCCTGTTTACTGCACAGACATGAGAGTGGCATAAATCGTTTCCTCTTGCTCTGAGCTAGAAAGGGAAACGAGTGTTACCAAACAGATTTAAACACTAGTCCTTTTAAGCTTCTTTCAAGTCTTGGAGTTGAAGCAACCGTGATGTCCCTGTATTTGCAGATATTTCTTTAAACCAATCAGATTAAAAACCTGTTTCATGATTAAAAAAAATAAAATAATAGTAATTAAAAAAAAAAGGCCAGTACAAGTCTTCATTGCTAAAACTTCTTAAATAGAACTTGCCTTTTCTACCTCCTGATATCTGTGATTCTCTGTATGGATGGTGTAGTTTGGCATTTGAAGGCTGTTACAGACAATCTGTGTTGTTTCAAAGATAGAATTTGACCTCAGATGGTCATGTGTTTGGGACTCCCAGAGTGATGTCATTTATGAGGTCATATTGCTCGCTCGGGCCACCATGCAGCAGGAGAGTAGACCTTCCACTGGAGGGGTGGGGGTGGGGTGGGGGGGGTTTCCCTGAGAGACCGACAGCCAGCATCGCTCTGTTTGCTTGCTTAGAGAGTGATGTAACAGAGCTGAAAGTGTATTCTACTTGCGCATGCATGTACGTGCTTGCCTGCATATCCTTGGCCGTGAATCTTGTTCAGTCATTCCAATGAAAATAAAAAAAATGTTCAGTTTGTGCGTCGAAGATCCCGACTCTGCTTTGTCTGGCTCGCACAACTCTCTGAAAACCCTTGTCGAATCCCATCCTCCGTTGCGCTCGTTTTAATTAACTTCTCCTGTCATCCCAGCACAGCCCTCACGCTGTGACAAAGACGAGGCCTCTGTTAGTGAGACATTGGCTCGAAGCGGTGATATCATCCATATTCGACGGAGACAAGAACGTCTGGATGTGTGCGGCACTTGTAGGTCTGTCTCACGATCTAGCAGAAGAGGCAGCCGCTTTCTCGGAGAGCAAGAAGAAGAACGCTCGGGCGAGTAACATTTGATCTTCAACGGCGGGGCTGTCACGTCACCAGCCTGCCAAGGAGCGTGCCGAGAACTGGGCTGCCGATCTGTGGGCACCAGTAGCCCGGCGCCCTGCTTGGCGGAGGGGCAAAGCAGATGGGCCATCTGGCTACTCGCTGGCGCAGGACAGGGGCTGTTCTGTTTGTCTGTGCGTGTGTGCGCGTGTGTGTGTGTGTGTGTGTGTGTGTGTGTGTGTGTGTGTAGCAACAAGAGAGTGTCGCTGTGTTTGGAGACCACCTGTCTTGCGGCTGCTCATCATCTCTTTCATGTGTGGTCAGCAGCACAGCCAACGCCGAGATTTCTGGAACAAACACCATCCCTCTTCAATTCACTCTTTTCTATCGTCTATCAAAGGTGTATCAGCTTTGGGGAATCTTTTGGGGGGTTAATGTTACCTCACCCACATGTATTGCTTATTTTGTGATGTATTTGGAGCACCCTGCTTTCAGAAAGTCGTCACCACTAAAACATTTCTCCCCAGACTCTGATGTTTTTAGCTCTCCCGTCCATCAGCCATTAGGATTTGTGCCTCTGACAGCGCTACACAGCCTGTTCCCCATGTTCGAACTCCTCTGGCACCCTCTGACTCTGCCCCTCAGGCTGTAAATTGCTCCAGTGGCCGGCTTTTATTGCTTTTATGAAAAGTTTTCTGGCTGACACACACACACAGAAAGTATTTGTGTCCCTGCAGAGAGGCTAGAGTGTCTGTACTCCATGTTAGGGACACAAAGCGTACACAGTGTTCAGGCTTTGAGAACACTAAAGAACATGCAACTGGAGACACTTGAGAGAGCATGACAACAAGTAAATGATGCTTTAAGAAAGACAGACAGACATTATCTTGGGAATGTTGAATCTCCCAGGAGGCCCTTTAGTCTTTTTTTCTAAAGATTTTGTTTGTTTGTTTGTTTGAAGATTCTACAAACTCAATGTGCTGTACACGTTTATATTCCCTTATTTCTTTATTTATATACCGTAGTCTATACATAATGTTTTACATTTTATTCCCTTTATTATACTTTTCCCTGCAAGACCTGCAGGCAATTCCTATTTTAACCGAACCACATTTGAGTGGGACTTTTTCAATGAATCCTGAAAGAAGTGTTTCATTTTCTAAATGTATAAAAAATGTCATACCTCAGAGTGAAAGCTTTTTTTAAAGAAAAACTACTGATACTAAATGTTGGCAACATCGCTAGAGCTGAAATGTTGTGAAACCACTGATTAAACGTCATACGCCATTGAACATTGGGACTTTTTTTGACTCATGAAGTGACAGATTTCCTTTTGCTGCTTGTCCTCATTTATAGAGTGTATTATTATTTTAGAGATGAACTTATGTTGTTGTTGTTTTTATTTTTTCAACTCTTTTTTTTGGGGGGCATTTTGAGCTTTTATGTAGATGTGCGTGAAAGGCCACAGGTTGGATCCGAACTCGGTCCGCCAGCTTGAAGGACTGTAACCTCCATACATGAGGCGCACTAACCACTACGCTAGCAGGGCTGTTGTGTTTTTTTTATTCTTTCAAGAGCTGTATTTACATGCAGTGCAATAGGCAAACAAATATGTTAGTGTGCATATAATCTATTAGCAACTAATTATGATTTTTTTTAATGTGGTGTTTATTTGACTTCCGGGGTTCTTGGAGCCAGGTGGTACCGCTTCCTGTCCTGCTAAATATAAGTGGGCTTACTTGATATAAGCTTGGTCTTTAATTCAGACTGAGGTTATACAGAAAAGACCTGTTTGGTTTTTCTGAAACCTACAGCTTCCCCTTTGATTAGCATCTAAGCTCAAAACAACAACAAATCTTTGAATTTCTTCAAATGCAGTACTACAGCTCTTTCTGTAGTTCCTGTTCTCTTTTTTTTTTTTTTTGCTAAGCCTGCATTCAGAGAAATGCAAATGTGTGCATGTGAAGCGTAGTATGTGGTGCCTGATGTATCTATGATATTTAGGAAAAGATTTTACTAGCCTGCAGTATGAAATTATGGTATAAATAATGGTACACATACAATGTTGGATTTAGTTTTGTAAGAGGGTGACTCAAAAAAGCAGAATTTTCTCCAATGATCGGTGGAGTAAATCTGTCAGAGGTATAAGACTCAGTACTGTATCACCTCATTACAGGATGTGACAGCCAAAACTAAATGCATAAAAATGGCTTCAGCTTTGTCTTTGAAGTACATCGTCTTTACCTGAGGCAGGCGTTCAGGCAAACACCCACGCCTTCATCGCTGCTGCACTGTGGGCTCTCAAGTGCACGCGGCTCCTCCATCATCAAACACTGAAGAGTTCCTCCGCTGCTGCTGGCTTTTTGTATCACAAAGTGCCACTAAAGAGACAACAGGGCATTGAAAGGATTCGGATAAAATGAGTTGCTTCAAATGCAGCACTTGGCTGTCATGTTGTTATTTGTCTGCCAGGAGCTGTCACAAGAAGGACGTGTCAATCTCAGGAGAGCAACCTGGTTAAATAAAGATTAAGTAAATAACAGAAGCGGTGACACTAATATTGGAAAAATGGCTTTGTGTTGGGACCACCTGCTTCCTGTTTTGGCTTTGTTTTGGTACAATCAGAATTATTACATGCACCAAGCTGAAGGAAAATGTCACAGTTCTTGGATGCTGAACCTGTGTTGTTTTTGTGTTTTTTTTTGCCTCTCAGGATGAAATCTTCGCCTGCTGAGAGAAGTTGAGCTCTGTGCTCGAGTTCAACAGGACCACTTCCTGATGATGACAGTAAACATGGGTGAGTAGTGTTTGAAAGCGTGTTGCTGTACAGTGCGTACATACACAGCATAGAAACATACACATCCTCTGACAGGAACAGTGCCAGCAGAGAGAAAAATAACACATGGAAAAGAGTGGAAAAGTGTGAGTGGGCTTTTAACAGCTCCAGGCGGGTTGTTTTTTGTACAGTGTTGTTATTAAAAAATGTTGTTTTCCTGATTTTATTACTTAATTCAGCCACTTAATGTTGCCCAAAGGGAGGTTCAGGTTATATAAAAAATATCCATCAAAATTGTATACATGAACCCAGTATTGCTTTTTCTGTATATTTACACCTACCAGGGCTGTTAACACTCATATGTACTCCTACATCTGTGCAAAAACAGTCACCATGGGGTGCTGCACTGCCCGTGGACTAGTGCTTAGTTTGCATGCCCCCCTTTTACAAAGGCTGTAATCCTCGATGTGGACAAACCTCTGTCCCTGATGCATAACTCTATACACTGTCCTGCCTCTACAATAAATTCATAAAAGCCAATAAGTCCACAACAATAACCAATTTTAAAGTTTACCCCAAACAATAGACTCTCAACTGAGCAATGCTTGCATGTATACTGTACATGACATGTACTGTCGCTGTACTTCTGGAGGAACAGTAGTCTAAACTTATTGCCAACAGACCTCTGTAAACAAGGCTTAAAATATTGATGAAGTATCTGTGGTCTCACAGTTCAAAATCAAACCCCATGCAATGTACATCACAGGACAGTGTTCAGCTCTGGCTCTTTATTTTTCACTTCTTTCTCATGTAATCCAATACACAGCGTTCTCTTTTGTTTCCACAGATGACGGTCTCCAAAATGGACCCGGACAGCACAGGAACTCACAAGGTGAACATCGATTGCTTTTGCTGCAGTTGATTGGGATTACAATAAACAAGTTAACTGTCGTAATTTATTTCAAACGTTAAATAAGTGGACTGTTACATTGCACTTTAATCTGTGCGTCAAGATAGCGTGGGTAAACCTAGCATAAACGCTATAGCAACAGAGTCAAACAGCTTTCTGGCGCAAAAGTTCTAAAGCACACCGAGTGAAAGGAAGGAAAAAGTTTTCCACATCTTCGATTTAATGAATTTACAGGGTAGAAAATATCCTAGTGTAGAGGAAATGGAAAGAAGCTGTTTTTGACTGACTAGCATTATTATGTTCATGTAGGCTATTTTGTTAGCATTTTAGCCTAAGTCTTATGCATTAGTCACCCCGCCCCACTTTCTGTTTTATATGGACTAGATGAATTCTTCAGTGCATTTTCTGGTGAGACCCGGTGAATACAGTAATTGAGCCCTAGAGGTATCCATAGTTGTTCTGTTGAAAAAAGCTAGCTGTAGCTGATTCCTCTTGCCTCCAGTCTTTTTGCAAAGCTAATTGCCCTTGACCACTAGCTCCATATTTCATGCAAAAAAAAAGGGATTGGGCATTTTTCCCAATTTGTCACATTACCTCTTTGATATAAAGTCAGTATTCACAAAGCCCCTCTTCAATAGCTCATTATATTTCCATTACAGTGCAGTGAAAACACAAGTTCTCTCAGGCAGAGAGAGGGAATGCCACAGCCCTTAGATAGTGAATGGAAATGTTTGCAGACATTCCCAAATGAAAAGACTCTCAGCGCGATGTGCAAACATTAATTGTGCCACAATTGTCATACACCCACAAAACCCTGCATTGCATCAGAACCATTGTTCTTAGTGAAAGATTAACTTTAGGAGCTTGAAAGTTACACCCACTAATAGTTAAATTAGCATGCGGTCCAGTTTCGACAAACAGCATGGTGAACGGAGAGTATAGAGCCTTACTTCGCAGAGCTGCTGTGTGTATCTAAGTGTGCGTGTGGGTTGTGCGTCAGAGCTCAGCCTGCGCTGCTGCAGAGTGAGGACACGCTTGGCTCCAGATGCTAATCCTGCAGGATGCCTTTGCCATGATGTGTCTCTCTGCACCAGGAAATCCCCACAATGTCTTCATTCAGGCAGCCTGTCTCACACACACACACACACACACACACACACACACAGACGCTGCATGGATGGGCCTTACACACACTTTGTTAGCTTGCAAGTTGCAGTACTGGCCTCTTAAAGACGTTGCTTTTGTGTTACTGCATCTTTAACTCCAAACTCTCTTTTAGCTGAGAATTTGAACAGCAGTCACAGCAACAAAAGATTAACAGTTTTTTTTTTGTGTGTGTTAACTATCTTGGACTTGAGTTCCAACTTCATTTCACCCACTGCCGCTTCCCCAATCCTCAGCTTGAGCCGTAGGAAAAAAAAAAAAAAAAAAAAAAAGATTCAGAGTGATGATGCAATGCTAAGCAATCGGCCTTCATTGTGTAATGTTGCTCGCTTTGCTCTGCTTCCTGGAATTCCCCCTTTTCTTATTCTAGTCACATTTCACCCCAGACACAAGAAGCAGCACTGAAAATGAACTCTACACATTCCAATTAATACAAAAACCTTTTAAAAAAAAAAAAAAAAAATCATTAACCATTTATAGTCACGTTGACAAATGGTTCCTCCGGTTCCTGTTATTGGTTTGTGTGGCTGCTCCTGGCACTGATGTGTGAGCTGGTTGCTCTCCACTGAGCCGGCGGTTAGCCTTGGCTGCCCCTCGGCCTGGCAGCGTCAGTGGACCAGGCCTCAGTGATGTAATAACTTCATTTAAAGGCAGCCATCACCACGCAATTCTCACACTTTTACCACCTCCCCTTTAGCCAACGGACCCTCCCACTCTCCCCCTTCTACAATATCCATAGCTCACAGCATAGGCTTCATACACACACACACACACACACACACACACACACACACACAAACAGATACACACACATGCAGGACTGTGTTGTTTGTTTTGTATCCTTGACTGCCGGCGCTCAGGGTAGTCTGGAGCTCTGAGCCTGCGGAGGCTGAGCTGAAACAACACTTGTCAACAGAGAGAGAGGAAGCACTGATGAAAAATAAAGATGGAGGCAGTGATGAGTTGCATTGTTTTTTTTGGAAAATGCCCAAAACATGTCAAGTTGTCTCAAATGCAGTTATCATTGGGCTTTGATTTGGCATGTTTGCTTAAAGGGATACTTCAGCCGTTGAAACATGAATCTGTACATACATACATGTAGTAGAAATGTGAAATAAACGTTGAAGTTGGTGCCTTCTTGGCCGTGAAAAGGCGGAAAGTGTCTTTTTGGCTCGTGTGGATGAAAGACACCAATTCCCAGAATGCACAGCACCGCAGGCCACTCCCACTAAGGTCCTCTATTTCAGAATCAGAAATACTTTATTAATCCCACAGGGAAATTCGATCGTTACAGTTTCTCCAAAATCTACAATATAGCAGTAGAACTATAGTAATGAAAACAGCAGCAGCTGCCTCGCCGCTTTATTTCAATTGTTTCGCCATTATCAGCTTTCTCCACAGAGCCTGTTAGCATAGCTTCCAAGCAATATGGCGGACGTTAAGTTTCGATTCTGGGAGTGAGTTCCCGCCCACTGTTCTGTGATTGGTCTGTAGCTTCAGTGGTCAAAAATCTGAGGAACTAGCGTTGTAGTTTCACCCCGCTGACCGCAACAGCTTCCAGCGACGCAAAAATCGTCATTTTTGCGTCACTGGAAGCTCCTTTTCAGACGTAGAAATACAAAGATTTCCCATCTCAGGGGAAGATGAGGGCGGGATGCACGACCATTCAAAAATACTACCAGGTTTCTAATGATACAAAGCTTAATGCAAATGGGTGAAGTATCCCTTTAATAGTCAATTGAATATAAGCAAATGCATATTGCAGCTTGATTATTGGCCTGTTTTGCTTTTTGTTACAGTTTTTGTGCAAATTAGAAAAGTGAAAGATGTCACCATGGTAACTTATTTTCAGAACTTTGAAGAAAACATTAAAGAAAAACAACAAATTCTGAACACCTACCCTTTTTTTTTTTAGCTTGTATAGTTTTTTATGCCTGTCCACGTTTGACAATCAATGATTATCTGATGATGTGGAATCATTTGGTTAGACCAGCTTCGTTTTCAGAAGCAGAGACGGTGACTCAGTTCCTTCCTGTTGGGAAAGGAGAGGTCTGGTTTAGTGTTTAGTCATCCACTGCTCCTGACAGCCTGTATTTTAGTCTCTGTGAGTCCTACCAGTGAGTGTCAGGTTTGTAAACATGTCCTATCAAACAGCAAACTGTGGTTTGTCTGTGGAGATATGCAGGTTGTTTAAACGTGGAGGTGTTATGTCACTTTTCCTCCGAAGACTGTCCCTTTTTGTCTTTTACAAACTCGGAGGGGAAGACGGCACAAGTGACTGCCCTGTCTCATGTTTACCTGGTCTTATCGCTTTGAAACATCCCACACATGGAGTTGTAAACTTGCTGCTGCATAGAGGAATGTGCTTATGTTGCACAATCACAGCATGTCACTTCTTTTGATAAGAAAAATAATTACTTTATTATCCCTACTTTCACATATAATCAGTGATTAAGATTTGTTTTTCAAATAAAAAGTTATATATTCAGGCATATAAGTCCTCCTACCTGTGCGCTCTGTGTTTTCACTGTCGCCTGAGATTTTGTGGGTGTAACTTGTGTTATCACTCAGCCTTATTTAGCTCCTCTTTAAGAGGAGGGAGTGTGCCAGTCAGCGGAAAAGGACTTTTGTCATTCCTCACTTTACTCCTGCTGCTATAAATGTCTTGTCAAACATGACCTCTACCTGTGTGGTGAGCTGTTGATGTGGTTCAACATCTGTGAATGCTCGCGGGCTTGATGGTGCTGAGGGTTGCCATTAGGCCTGGTAGGAGCAGCAACAACAAACAAGCAATAAAGGCATCGTTTCTTCATTCAGAATACTCCAAAAAAGTGTGGGCACATTTCCTATTTACCGTTTTCTCACTGTAGTCAATTATTACCTCATAGATGGCTTTGCTGCTCAGCTGAAGTTATGTCATCTCACACTGAGGCATTAGTTCGTCCAAATGACAAAATAACACATTTCTCTTGATGGTTGTGTTAGCACTCCAGCCAGGCAGTTATTTTCTGTTTAATGTGCCTGCCTCAGGTTTTAAAAAATAAGATGCAGCATTTAAATATCCAATGAACAGATTGCCAGTCGAGCACTGGATGTGGCTTTTTCAGCACGTCATGGAGTGGGAGGGAGACATTGTCCAAAATGCCACCTAACTCAGACAGATGTATTGGAATTTGGTTTGAAAAAGGGGGACAAAGAGATCACCTGCGTTACATGAAATCAGCACCGAGAGAGAACCAGATTTGAGATGGTCAGCAGCGGGATTGAGAAACAAGTCGGTTAGTTTATGTTTTTGTGTCTGTGTCCCCCGGGTGAACCTTAACGGACTGGCCTGCTGTCGACTTAACAGCTGGCCACAAGCAGCGTATAGCAGGGCTCAGGATCAAATGGCACCTCAGACCCCATCTGCTGCCCACACTATCATCACACACGCGCTGTGAATAACATTCCCAGAGGTGTTTCAAACACACAGCTCTCTTGTATTTTGAAGAATGCAGTCTTTCCTGCAGGTGCTGTCTTGCGTTGCGTAGCACACACCTGGGCCGGTTTCCTTGTGAACCGCGATGTGTGTGTGTTTTCATAATGAATGCACCAGGGGGCTCATGTGATAGGCCGACGGGAGCCGAGGTCAACGACCTCTTCTTTATATTGTAATCACGGCACTCGGATAATTGGTTCTATTAAAGTCTCTTGATATGGTAATGCCTGACATGCTCATCTGCATGATTGCCCCCTTTGCACAGGAGAGTGTGTGTTGGTGTGTGTTTGTGAGGGCGTGCGGCAAAAAAGTGCAAAGCGACAGAAAAGAAGTGAGAAGTGGAGAACGCCAAGATGCCGAGCGTTTCTCTTTCACCAGCAGGTTTTCTGAACTGAAAGGTTTTAATGAACTATCGGCCTGTCCCTTTAAGGAGCCAATTATGAATATGAGACACACTTGAATCTTCTGTCAAAGTCAACAGCTCGGTTCATGTTGAAGCGTACAGACACTTGTGTTTAGTCGTGTTTGATGGCAAAAAGGTCAATGTCAGTCTGATTACACCCAACAAAATTAGAACTGATGAATTATGCTCCAGAAGTCTCTGGAAGGGGCTGCATTGCCCCCCCCCCCCCCCACCTCCATGACAGCACACATGCTGCATAATTAAACACCCTTTGTTCTTTCACAGCTTTTGTATGCAGACCACAGAGTTTGAGAGTGATCAGAATAGCAACAGAACTCTTCACCTAGTCAAATCTCAAAATCAGGAACACAAAGAGTTGATCACACTGATCACACATTGCTGCTTCAGTTCCTGCTTTTTGAACCTCAAAGGGTTGAGATCAGTTTCAAACAGCTAATGTGTGAAATTCTGTCTTTAGATGACGAGGAGGCGCTGAACTCCATCATGAAGGACCTGGCAGCGCTGGGTCGCTGCTACACCCAGCCCAACAGCCACAAACCCAAGAACAGAACCTTACTCTACAAGCAGGTATGCATTTAAAGGGATACTAATCCAGAGTCAACCTCTAGCTTCCTGTAATAGGCTGAACATGTGGATCTGAAGGGTTTCTGGTGTCCACATCATGGAGAAAGTCAAACGTTTTTATGGTTTCATAGACTGAAAGAAAACTTGTCAAACCTCTTCTGCATGTCCAAAAGAGTCATATGTGAACTAAGACGTATGAATATACACAGCTTAATTAAAAAATGGAAATCATAAATGGGTAATTGGACATTCAAAAAGACAGAGTAGATGTGGTTTATAACTTGCTGCCGTCCCTCCTGACTGAGTTATGGAGCTGTGAACTTTTAAATTCACCTTTTAAACCCACAGGGCTCGAGTGTAGATTTTCTTTGTTGGTGGAGTATTTCATTCACTCAACTCCATTACGTTTTATTAACCAAACACAGCAGAGGCACAGCAGTGCTTTTAGGCTTAACTGTCACTCAGGGTTTAAACAAAAACCTCAGCCTCAATTCCTTTTAGATTTTTTCCCCTTTTTTTTGGGACTGGACTGGAAGCTGCCAAAGTCAAGTGAAAGTTGTCTGAAAGTAGCTTATTGAGAGTCTAATTCTAACACATTATTATTTCATAAACCCTAATGAGACATTGAGCTGTATTCAATAACACGTAGTGGAATACAAATCTTTAAAAAAAAAACTGAAAAAAGCTGTTATGTGATGTTTTTATGTACAAAGCTGCACAAAAGACAGTCAATCAAAGCATTTATCAATTGTCTGCTAGTACAACGTGGTTTCACTTCTAAAATGTAGGAGAATATTTTACATAGAATATCTAGAAAACCTACTTTAAAAAAAAACAAGCACTCTGACACAGCCTTAAATGAATGTAAGGTTAAGAATCTGTTCAGGACATCAGTGAAGAATTCCTCAGAAATGATCAGTTGACATATCTCTGGCAGCTTGTGACTGAACGAGCAGACAGGCTTTCATTTGTCACAGTCACCTTGCCTCTCTTTCTGAAGTGGTTTCCCTCATGCAGTTGTTCTCTCTGTGGAATGATAATTTGCAGATCCTCTTAATGTTTATGATGAGACATAAACAAACAGTGCCAAGCACGCAGTTTCCTGTTCTATGAGTCGGGGGCAAACCTCTGATTTTGAACCAATGGCTTGCGCTGATATGATGTCAGTGCTTCAGTGTTTCTTGTCAGTTTTATCGGCATGACCTCATGCAGACTTGCAGGCTCCTCTAGATTCCTGCTCTCTTGGGTAATGCCTTTTATAAATAGTGGACCTGCAAAGTGTCCTGCCATCTCTTAAGTTGTTAAGGTTGTCTTTGTTTTACAGGACCAACTTCACCAACAAAACCATGTATGACTTAAATGCTTGAAGTCAGTGAAATTCATCGTGTAGCTTATTGTTGTCTTGTATTCAGCAGTCCAAATCCCACACACCACCTTGAATCACTTTAACTTTCCACCGCCATAACTCCCCTCTGTTGTTATTTTTCCTCTCAACAGGATTTAAGAGTCAAGCTGGAGCATGAGAGAGAGAAACGGTACGTTGGAACCATCCGTATTGTTCTTTCTACATCCCTGTCCAAGTTTTGAACTCTTCAGCTTGGATCTTTTTTGTTATGCTTTGCCATGCCTGGGATTTTGTGTCCGGGGGAAATCACTGTTACACAGCCAGAGTAGCATAAAGAGAGGGAAAAAAATTCCTGCATTGACATTTAGCGGCGGCCTTGTGTTTCGGACTTGGATGGGCCGTTTGAGAAGGGAACAAAAAAGAAAAAAAAAAAAAAAGAGGGAACAGAAGAGTGCCAAGTTTCAATTCAGTGTCCAGTCCTCAAGGCACACCCCGAATTAATACTCCATCTTTTCCTCCGTCCTTCAAATCATTCCGTCTCCAGACTTACTGAAGAGGCGAGGCATGGTTACACTTACTCTGTCTGGAGATGGTCTCACGATCAATGTTTCCACCAAGGTGCCTCACAGTTTGTTTACCACATTGGAGCACTTTGTAAGCTAAGGCCACAGTATAAACAGCACATCTTTTGAATGGGTGAGGCTTTATTTGGTGTGGGTCTTCGTTTTTGTCTGTTGCGGCTCCATCGTTCCTTGTATGGACGCCGCTCGAGTCCCCCAGGTCCTCGTTTTGGCCTTTAGAATTGCATCCTGGGAGAGGGCCAAGTTCACAGACACACTTTGTCCCCATGAAACCCTTGTTCAACAACCCAACAACTCCTTAAACACAGGAGTGTACTGTTCAAAAGGAGAAAAGCATCGTTGGGAGATTGGCCAGAGCGACTCGAATAATTGCCTTGGTTCATCAGAATATGGTCCAGATGTTGCTTCAGTGAGACTGAGACCAGGAAACATCTCCTTCCTCCTGCAGAATATGTTCTCACGTCGGGCCTCTTCACTTTTTCACAGCCCTAATTGGCCACTGCTGTGAAAGAGACAAGTTTTTCATGTTCCTGTCTCTTTGAGTTTCTGCCTTCCTCTCTTTCTCTTTACCGCAGCCTTCTTCCCCGTTTTTTTTTCTTCACAAGCTCCCCTCACACCATCACTGTTCTCACAGAACAGACAGCTATTTTTTATGTAGTTCATTTTACAATTCACTCTGAATTCACACTGTCCTTCCCCTCTTTATTTGTTGTCACGTTCTTGCTTTGTTCTTCTTGTCCGAGCAGCACCACTTTCATTTTGATCTGAATCCTGTTTTTGAAATCAGGAGGTAATCATACTAATAGATACTAGGGGTAAAATAATACGATCACATTGTAGCTATTGCATGATTTGCATATACATTTAAATCAGCTCTGATCAACAGCTTTTGCTATTGCTAAATTACATTCGCTCTCTACCATCTTACTTGCTTTTTGTCAAAAAGTAATGATTCTCAAAGTAGCAGCGTCCGATATGATTACACATGATGTCTGAGCTGCGTCCACATTGTTGAGGTATCAGGAGTCCCTGAGTCAGGATAACCATGTTGTATGTTCACAATGGAATCTGATTGGACTGTCCTTCTTTTTTTTGGCAAGCTCTGAAGGTTTTTTGGCAGGAAATCGGAGCTGTGTGTCTCTCTCTACACCCCCGCCCCCCACCCCCCGGCTCTGCCTCAGGGTCTCCTGCCAGAGAGAGAGTAAAGGAACAGGGCCAGACTTTTTTTTTTTTCCCTGTGTATTTGATTGTGATTGTGTCCATGAGAGTAAAAGGGAAAGAGAACGAGTGAGTGTGCTGGGATGTGTTAAAGCATTCTTTTTTACTCTGCAAATCTGTGTGTCAACATGCTCGCACTGAGGAAGGAAGGCCATATCTTTCGGAGCAGCATCCTCATACCCCCCCCCCCCCACCCCAAAACCCCCTTCCGCATCCCTCCAGCTCTTTATCAGACACATCATCGGCGAGTATAAACAGAGATGTGGAGCGTTTAGCTCTGCTGCTGTTTTGCCTCTGATCTGCAGGCCTCCCTATTCCCAGAATCCTCTCCTCAAATGAGGGAGCCAATGAGCAGTCATTAAGATAGGCAGAGCTTTGGCCTCCGATGAGGAAATGATGAGATGAAAACAAGTCCTTTTATCAGGATACTATAAAGAGATAGTCGGCTACAAATTCTTCAAAAGCAGAGAGCGAGGGAAGAAAGAGCAGAAGATAGCAGGAAAAAATGCCGGGGGAATCTTTTTCTCTTTCTTTTGGTCTTTTATTTTGTCAGACTGTCTCCTGTATTTTCTCTCAGTCTCTAAATATCTCTGTATCTTTCACTCTGTCACTCTTTAAAAGAGGAGGGAAAGACACACATCCTGCTGCTTTTGCTGCCTCTCCAGACCCCCCCCCCCCCCTCCCCTTCTTTCCTCTCAGGAAGTTTCCCATCTGCCTTTGTGCTGGCTTAGTGGAGAGGCCCAGTGGTGTTGAAACAGCCACCGATGCACATACTGATTGGGAAGCACACTCATGCATGTAGAGTTTTACAAACATGCACGCCTCCATATATACACTCCCTATAAACACTGGCTGATAAGCTCAAAGTGTGCACACTCTGTCATACACGTAGGCCGACATCAGATGAGACTTTCATACACATTATGGGGGGTGGGGGGGACAAACTGCCACTGTCTGTTTTCATTGCATTGATTAATGCCCCTTTAGCATCAGCGTGCTCCTCTCCTTGACCCAGCTGACCTGATCATTTTTCCCTCTTGATACCATAGAAACACAGTCATAAAATGGCCTAGAAAAAGACTCCTATAGGGTCTTCCAGTCAACATGTATGCAGCAACACCAGCAAAACAATGAAGACAATGAAAGAACTTGAACAAAACTGCGAGCAGTGTGCAGATATATTAGCTTGTGAACTAGTCAGATGCTAATACTGTATAGCCAAACTCTCAGGCTTCATAATAGAGTCTGAGCTTTTAAAGCCAGACACAACACTAGTTTCTACTAACGTCTGACTATGCTACTATTTTTTTTACCTCCCAGAATCATCCCGTTCCAGAGGCCACTGAAGATCAAGGAGCTGCTGCAGAAGGTGACAGAGGCCTTTGGACAGCAGATGGACATGTACTTCACGGAAAAAGAGGTACAAGAACAAGAAGTGGCCATGCTTTGAGATCCTTGGCTGTTGTTGGGAATATACAGTATCTTGCAAAAAGTATACAGCCCCTCCGACTGTTCTACATTTTATTATCCCATATGCTCTTTTGTAAAGCGTCTCGAGATAACACTGGGGCTATACGAATAATGATTGATTGATTGATTGATTGATTGATACAATTCAGTGAATCTGAATTTAATAATAGTTATTTGTCTTTTTTTTTTTTACTGTTTGATGAACAAAAAAAGCAGTGAAAAAAAAGCAGATATCTGTTGGATGCACAGAATATCGGTTTCACAATAAAGCACTCTAAGCTTCTGAGAACTCCACAGGTTCTTCCTGGAGTCCTTAACATTGTTGTAAAAAGTTACGTTTCTTCGATAGTGATGAAAGCTTGCATTCCAATTAGCAGATGTTGAAGGGAAACACCACCGCAGTAATTGCGGCTTGTCAACTTCTGATTGTTTGCCATATTTATCTATCTTATCCAGTTTTGTGTTGATCCATTATACTGTATATACCAAAGGTTTTACATGGAAGCATATGGAAAATCTTCAGGAGGGAGACATTTAAGCAAGGAGCTATAATCAAAAATGTCACAAGGGAGGGAAAATCATCTTTTTTAACCTTAACAAGGTTTAAAATAAGAAAACAACCACTCCATGTCATGTGCACACTGAAGCTTTAACATGGCACCATAATGGAATAATAGGGTATTTAAAGGTCATGTGCTGCATGTTTTCTTATCCTTTCAGCTGCTGCTGCCCATGAAGACCCAGGAGGATCTAGATCAGGCCGTGCTGACGTTAGGCTGCAGCACAGGGACCAATGGGCTGCTCAGGATACTGCTAAAGACCCCCAAGAACAACCATGTAAGGTTCCACTTCTTCAAGACATAAAACTGACCATTAGAGACACTGTAAGATAACTTGAATCCGAATTTTTAAGCAGATTTACACAGTAGGATTGTTGCGCAACACTCATCACGTCATAACCTCGTTCTGTTTGAGATGTATCAGTTTATAAATAGTACAGATAGCAACTCTTTGTCTGAACAAAGTGAACTTTAAATTAAAGGTCAGTTGCATCAGAGGTACTGTTTTCTGAACTTAAAGGAAGTTCCCTTACCGAAATGATGATGTAACGAGACAACGATGCAATGTTTTCCTCATTTCCTCTCCCAATCCTGCTCTCTTTCTCCACTTCCAACTCTTTGTATTGTTTTCTCTTTGTAGTACCTACAGGTGAACAGCAGGGACAAACAGAGCGAGATGAAGTCATCACGGTCTCTGGGAGATCTGAAGGGCTCCCTGCTCAAGGGCTCAGAGAGGGTGCGCAAACACTCGACAGGTGAGCTGGCAGAATTGTGGAGTCATTGACTTGTAATCAAAGTGCTGTTAAAGCTCTATCAGGGTGAAATTTCTCCCTGTCTCTATTTCTGAGAGGAGGCAGAAAATAAAAAAAACAGAGTTACAATAAAAACCTGCTGATGCAAAGATTTGTTTTCCACCTGGTAGGGCCTCAAGGGTGGGCTGTCAGTGTGAATTTTCAGCAGAGATGGATGCTGCTGTCATAGGAATGTTAATAACAAGACGAGGGACATGCTTTGTCAGAATGGAAAAATGCAAATTGAAGGTGGAATTGACAACTTTAACAGCCAGTGAGATGTCCGGTCAAAGCAAGGACGAGTTTCCGCGCCCATACCAAGCAGCTCCCTGTCTGCACCGTCTCCTTTATGTGTTAGCAGTTAGCGTGTTGATGCTATGCTGAAAGTGTCGCTCTCTGGATGTTGAAAGCCCCATTAGACAAACTTTTATTGGTTATGCCCCACACACCCCCCTCATATCTCTCTGTTGAGTATGAAGGTGCAGTCAGCAGCTGTAGCGTAGCTGGCATAAAGACGACAACAAACGGAACAGCTAGCATGACTCTGTTATTTACGCTAACCAAAAACTAAAGTGAAGTGTGTTTGTGGATTGCTGTTATCACCAAGGGGTATTAAGTTGTGGTGAAGCTACTTTAATTTTTGAACACATAACAAAAATAAAAACAAAAACTATATATTTACATAAATGGCTGGGAGGCCAGTCTTTTCCCTGTTCTTCCAGAAACTGGGTGGCTAGCTTTTAGCGACTTGGCCTCTGTCAAAGAATAGAGATTAGCCAGATGTTTTTCTTCAAACCACCACCATGTGTTTTTGTTTTATTTGCATCAAAAGTCAGTTGTCATTAGCTAAGCTAGAATGAAGACTGGAAATGGATGTTTAAACAGTAGGCCTAACCAAATATGCTAGCTAGCTTAGCTGATTTTCTAACAACTTACACAGCTGTATTTAAGATTTTAACAGATATAACAGTGATGGTAATATCAAATGTCTTGCCAAGACACCCAAAGGCCCTTTTACTTGTCATGTCACGCTCTTTGGTTAGATAACAAGGTAAAGTCTAGCACTGCATGTTGTCCCTCCTGGCTTGTTTGGTAACACAGCATGAAGGTTTATTTTGCTCTGTGAAATACTGAGCGCTCCCTTGTCTCCCATGTCGGGGTCTTTTCACCCCTTCATATCATGTCTGTCCAGGAAGGTCAATGTTTCAGTCGTCTCTCAACCTCGAAAACATGCCAAAAGGACCAGCACTCTGTTTCCCATTTTCATTTTCACATAGCAGCCGGAGCTCTTTATAATGGCTGTCAACGCCGATCTGTCTCACGTCGCCCAAATAACATCAGCGCTGTCACCATCCCTGCTCATGTAAATTGTATAGAATTACCCGCCTCTCTCTCTCTCTCTCTCCGGATTCCCCCGCCAGCTGCCAGTCAGAGAGGCTGAAAGAGAGAGAGAGTAGTGGCGGGAGTGGTGGCAGATGAGAGGTGACGGGAGAGCAGTCACAGCGGATGGATGAGTGAAGATGTGATGTGAGCCTGGGTACCTCGATGACGCATGGCAGAGACGGGGGAAAGGAGAGGGTGCAGAAAGACAGAGAAAGACACTGAACTGTAAAGAAGATACATTTCAGTTATAAATTAGACTGTTTACTCTGGTAGTCAGCCAGTTTTTACATCTTGGTACCTTTTGGCCTGTGCGCATGTATTCAGTCAGCGACAGTGAGACTTTCAATTCTCACTCTGTCAAGGACGAGCATTCAGTCATCGCTGTAGCTGGGGGTTGCGTTTGTCACAGTAATTGAGGTTAGAGGTGGCGGCAGTGTGGTTTAGTAAATCATTTTCGTAGTCCTGGCACAGTTGAACTTGTACCCATGAATAATACGATGATGCTGTTTTCTCCCCTCCGCCCCCTCTCTTTCCTCTCTCCATCATCTTCCTTTCTACTTCCTCCATTCCTTCTTTCCTGATTTTACACTTTGCTCATTTCTTTGCACTTAACTCCTCATTCTCTTGGCATACTTTCTACTACCTGTCCACTCTTTTTCAAACTTTCACAGGTTCCCTGCACACAGGTCGGACGTCCCCACCTCCAGGCAGCGTCCCCGAGGAGCAGCAGCAGATCGCTCGCCAGGGCTCCTACACCAGCATCCACAGTGAAGGGGAGTTCATCCCTGAGACCCAGGACCAGAATGTAAGAGACTGAACAAGTTGACTCATTTGAATGAATTGACCCTAGGTTTGGTTTATGGTACAATCTGCATTGTTCTTCGTTTTTATACTGAACACATGGTTGCTATATGAACATGCTATAACTCAGGCAGTCCCAGTATATGCAAAACATCAGAAACAAAAGCCACAACCCTCTTTAGCAGGCAGGTGACTGGTATATACACAGAAAAGTTCACACTGGGGTTTGTGTCTAATGATTTTGAACCCGTCAGACCTGTCACTTGTTGCATCTTTTGGACTCGTTGTGGGAATGCCACTCTGCTTTGTTGTGACTCGGTTCATTTACTCAACATTTTTAACCATTATTATCAAGAGAGATACGGTACGTGATTCGGTTATTGAATAAAACCGAAAGTAACTGGTATAAAGGCAGTTTTCGGATGAATGATGGAATAGAAAGCCTTTATTGTCATTGCAAATTGTGCAACACAATTTGCTATTGAGTTCAGGCTTAAAACTCAAGATCTGTCTATGTGGCATAAAACTCTCAGCTGACTGCATCCTCAGTGACCCTCATTCTCTTTGTGTTATTACATCTGCCAGATGGATCCTTTCGGGAGCGCGGACAACTCACTTTCGAGCAGCTGTCAATCAATAGATCAAGCACTGGACAGGTGAGTTACCATGCAGTGTTTGATTTATTACTTTTGTCCGTGTGGATTTTTTTTTTTTTTTACGATACTCACATTCATATGGCAGGTCACAGTTATTTATTCTTGCTTCGTATCACAGTGTTCACGCTTGAATGTCATCTTGTGTTTTGTGAAATTGCACACAGAAGCTAACAAAGGCTCTTGGTTTAGTTTTTTAAAACAGCCTTTAAGGTTGGCAGCGATCACTGACCAGTGACCCTGCCTGCGATATTGCCAATATGGAAAAGGGAATCGGGTCACTTTGTTGTTGCCATGGCCACAAAACTCTTATCTTGACGCCTGGATTCCTCTGTTATCGTTAGAGAAGGCTAACAGAGACTGAGTGGGAGACGTAGAAGTGTGAGCAAGAACACGCTGCATGAGGGGAAAAACTGGTGAAAAAGTGAGAGTGGAGTAGAAGTGGGGGGGGGGAGAGAGAGAGAAAATATTGAATGTAATTCAAAGGGAAAGAGAAAAATGAGACAGAGAAAGAGAGAAGGGGAGAGCGAGAGAGAGAGTGTGTAGGACGGAAACAGCTCTACCTGCACGAGGCTTATCTGGGCTCCAGGCTGCAGAACAATGGCAGGAAACGAGTGCATGGAACTTTTCCCTCCGAGCGGGCATGCGTGCCCCTTATCCAGGGTCTCGTGGCCCCGCGCCGCCCTGCGGTCAGCAGAGACGTCACTCTCTGAAGGGCCGGGGGGCAGGGCTGGCTTACAGGCAGCTTTGTGGGGGGGGAGGGGGCCTGAACAGCAACACATTTAATGAGAGAAGGTTTATTCTGCATCTTACCTCCACAAAATGTACTCAATTTCTTTTTGTTATTTCACCAAGGTAAAAAATCCTTCTTATCTTTTCTTATGGGACACATTGTGGTTTAAAATCAAAGAATGCAAAGTTGTTTAAAGGCTTTTTGTGCGGCTTTATATCTGACATTTCAGTCCAGCTGCTGTGGCCAGACTCCTTTTTGAAGATAAGGGGGAAATTAGAAGATGAAGCAGCAAACCATTTTCAACCGTCCCCTCCTTGTTCTCTTGTCATTTCAGTCCTCCTTTCTCGCAGAACAACCGGGACAATAATTACCTGAACCTCAACTATGAATACAAAGGTAAGACAGGAGGAATCTGCAGCAGAAAGCTGTGCTGTTGAGTTAACGCTCACCTCAAACATTACACAGGGGGATTAAAAGGTAGAAATGTTTTTTTCATTTTTTAAAAGTTTTTCCTGTTTTAACTTTTTTCGGTTTTGTTGTAATTATAGCCACACAAGTAGATTCACAGAAAGAGAACTAAAGCTCTGTTCATGCAGCTCCTGATAAGCTCAAATGTTTCTCATTAAAAATGCCCTCAGGGAGATGGTATTATTAGATGGGAGTAAATACTTAAAATGAGGGTTGGGGTTTTTAGGGAGATATTTAATATCTTGGTTGTGTTTTTACGTCTCAGGAGGTGATGAAGGGAGTGTGATAGCATCATAACTCGTCCTGCTTTATATTCCACAGACCCTCCGCTGTGCACCCTTTGTCCATCTCCTTCACTCACTCCTTTTTCCCTCTTTGTCTGCATTTTTTTTCCAGACTCCACTTCCTAATAGACATCGCTCCTTTCCCGTCTTTTTATGATCATTTCCCTGCTCTTGATGCCACCCCCCTTGCTTGTCTCGCCCCTGTCCCCTCGGCTCCCCGTCTGTGCCTTTTCCTTCAGAACACAGATCAAATGCAGCAGGATGACAGATAATGCCAAATGAATCCTCATGAACAAGGGAAACGCAGCAATCTGGCCATTTCGCCCGTTCTGTTAAATTAAAGAAAAATGTAAGAGTGCTGCACATTGTGTATACAGGCTGGGCGTGTGGGTGCTTCATATAGCTGCAGCCATACTTGAGCACTCACACGGGCATGCATGCACATGCAAACACATGCATACACACGCTCTTCCCCCCTCCCAGATGTAAAAGCTGTGTGGCCCTTCCTGCTGAGAGCTACAGTATTTGTTTACCATTCCCTGTGAGTAGATTTTTCCTCTCCATCTCGCGCTGCCAAACACAAAAAATAACTCCCGTCTCCATGGGATACGGCCACAAAAACAGCGCAAGGGGAGGCAGTCATCTGACAGAACAGCTGCTTTCAATTGCGAGTGGCTCCACTACTCTCCATTCAGTGTGTGCGTACTTGTGTGTGTGTGTGTGTGTGTATGAGAGAGAGACTGAGTGTCAGCGCTCGCCTGCGTCAGCAGTGCTCCCCACCTGCCTTTAGTTACTGCTCCACTGGGTTCAGAGCTAAAAGGCTAAGCTAGCACACATGAACTGTTTTTCTGACTCGGCTGCAGAAAGGCGATACAGCCGCTCTGTTCCAGCGTGTGACAAGCTGTCTTCCATCCTGCTGCTTTTGATTTGAACACAAGCAATGACGTGTCTGTCAGATGTGATCAGTTAAAACTCTTCTCCTCATCATGCTTGTGTTTCTAACAAGCTCCAAGCTATTTAACTTTTATTCTTCCACTTGAGATGTGACTATTACTATAAAACATAATGAAGTTGATATTGTTGCCTATTCGTTTACTTCCAAATTAACAGCTCTGCTTTGTTGCTCCCTCTGCAGGACGCCATGGAAAAGGAGGGACTTTCCCCCGCCAGTTCCAGTTGCCCAATCGCAGCAAGGATTACGGAGACCGTAAGAAACCGGCTTTGCTTGAGCAGTAACAACAACACATTTACTGCACAGATTAAACAGATTATGTTACTATTGAAGCAGTACAACACAGGCACATACACATGCCTACACCAGACAATCCCATCTAATCACATTTGTTTTCATCAGTGCACAATTCCCTGTTTTCTAAATAGTTTGAAATCTTGTTCTCCACTTGGGCGTCTTTTGCTCAAATCATAGATTTGGTACATAAAGTTCTGGCTTGCTGTCCAAGGCAGCTGCTAGTAATTGCTTACTCAGAGGCTAACCTTGGCTAGCAGTGATTTACGTTTCCCTGCGGTGAACCCGAACTTGTATAAAAACACAGCGCCCTGCTTCCTGTCTTAGGGGAAGTGGGACTGAGTGGCGAGAGGCACTCTGCTCCGGCTGGCCCGAAGTCTTTGGCTGAGAGCTCGCTGTACTGTATGCACAACACCTGTAAAGAAAAAAAACAGTGTGAAAATCACTAACAGCACAAACAAAAGAAGAAATGGCCCATGTGTGCACGGCCATTAATATGTCTCTTTCTCTTTTATATGTGTGTTTTCAGGTCGTAGGACACTTCCGCGCAGCTTCATGCCGCAAGAGAACCTGTTTCAGCTAGTTCCATCCAGTCGCACACGGAGTTATAATGGTGAAAGTACGCTGCAGTACGGCGACCTGCGCTCACTGGGCCGCACTGCTGACAAAAGCTGCCAGCGTGGGACAGCCAAGTGTAAGTGGAGCTATAAAGATGTGACAAAAGTTTTCAAATGAAGGAACACAACAAGAAGTAAATGTTCCCTCAGACCATAAAAACACTGAACTTCTGAGCCTTTAATATTGTCAGGGGCTTTTATTTATTTGTAATTTGACAAATGAAACCCTTACTGCTGACACAGACATGACTGAAGGAGAGCTCAGACTTCGACTGCTTCTGCTGCTTTTTTTATTCAGGCAATGTTCTCCTATCAGTGCTTTTTTAGACACATTTAGAATTTAGTCAAAGAAGAAACTAAATTTTAGGGAGCATTAAAAATAAGTGTATAAGAATACTGAAACTGAAGGTTACCAGCATGTTTTTGTATAAATATTTAAGTAATACAGAGCCCTTGTTGAGAAGCATCTGCTGTGCACAACCAAATATAAAATGAAATAAAAACTTGCACTGAAATCAAGAAAAAAGGGCTAAATTTGTCTAATAAATAATTCATAACATTGACTTAATGGTTCAGATTTCAGAATTCGGTCAAACAAGGTGTAATTACAAGAACTTTAAAATGTAGCATGCCATCATGGTTAGCAGAGAACGTGAAATATCTCCATGAATACTGTGTGCCATGCATCATGTGTAAAAGGTAGTGGAGATAAAGTGCAGTTAAAATGTAAATCACAGCGGGCACAATTTCCCTGTCCTCATCTTATCCCAGCCTGCCATCTGTTATTATTCAGTCCACAGTTTGCATTTTCCAGAAACTGTCTTTGTCATAGAACTGAAGCTTGGCTCAGCAGTCTGAGGTCGGCATGTCTCTGTTGTCCTTCTCACCCACACACGACCAAACCGTCTAACCTGACCACAAAGAAAGTCTCAGAGTCTGCTCTGAGGCGCTGAGATGCTCTCTCTAGGGTTTTTGTCGACTTTCTGTTGTCTGAGCATGGTTTTTACTCAGATATCATGGGCTTCCCCTTCTGAGAGGGTCTGCGGTGGGAATTATTCAACGACCCTGCGGTGGATTTGACGTCTGGCTTCGTTAAAGTTACTGCACGAGTTACAGTTGGATTTTGTGGTGGATTTTGACGCATGCCTCAGTGGTTCAGTGTTTGCTTGAGTCAGTATATCACAGTGGCTCTGTCATCCTCTGGGGGGCTCAGCTACAATAAATTACTGCTGGGTTTTCATCATGTGGTGTCTTGTTTCTGCAGCGCCGCGGGCGCCAGTCAACTGGCGACAAGGAAAGCTCCTGGGGCGCGGGGCGTTTGGGGAGGTCTACCTCTGTTATGACGCCGACACAGGCCGTGAGCTGGCTGCCAAGCAGGTTCCCTTTGACCCCGATTGTCAAGAAACCAGCAAGGTGAGAGAGGACATAATAAGTCTCACACTAGATTATTCCAGGGCAGTGATTTATTGTTTCCAGATTTAATATGATTGTGAACTCTATGTTTTTCTTAATTTAACCCCTCTTTTTCTGCAGGAGGTGAACGCTCTAGAGTGTGAGATCCAGCTGCTGAAGAATCTGCGTCATGAGCGGATAGTTCAGTACTACGGTTGTCTGCGGGATCTGGAACAGAGGAAACTCACCATTTTTGTGGAGTTTATGCCTGGGGTGCGTATTCTGCAGAGGAGACATCACACGTAGCTCAAAATCAAGGCAACAGTCCTAATAAACGATGTCTGAGAATGCCACATTGTTGTATCAGCTGTACACACATTTCAATACAAACATTAGTTCAAACCCAAAGAAGCTACATCTGCTTAAAAAAAAAACAATTCTGAAATGTCAGCAGCTGTCATCAATCATGTCCTCTGTGGTTGATGTCAGCAGAGCAGCTCAGTTTTATGAGATCATTTTCTCACTAAATGAGCGCTTTAATGAGCCACTGTCGCCTGTAGACCCCGTCACTGCGTCTGTTTTTTAATATTTCCGTGACCTCTTTTTTTAATTTTTTTATTCTGAGAACCATTGAGTGACTTAGTCACACATTGTCTGGAACTTGGAAATGTTTATGTTACACTGGAGTTTTCTGGCAGAGGCAGGAGGGGAGGTGACAAAAGGCAAGTCGGTGTGTGTGACTGCTCGGCACGACTGCACCGCTGCAGCTGACCGATAACGCTGTAGCTGCCCTCGGGGGGGGGGGGGGGGCAAGTGTCCCTCTGAGAGGCAGAGAGCTGTTGAGGTGTCTTGTTGACAGCTAAAAGTGAACATGGAGAGGTTTTCTTTTTCACTTTTTGAGTCCAAAAGTGCGTCACAGGTGTTAGGTCTTTAGCTCTTGAGGAACTGAAAACAGGAAATGAAAGGAAATGCAGGACGTCGGAGAAAATTGAGCACATTCCTTTCTACACTTTGCCCGTTTATGACTTTTTTTTTCGGTGCTTAAAAAAGTGCTCAGAGGCTTCTTTTATAATAAAACAAATTCAATCTATTGTGACTATGCTACAACATTTCCCTTAAAGTCATTGTTATTTTAGACACTGAACCATTGGATATTCATTGTACACTAGGGATGGGACATAATAGTGGTTTGGCAATTTACTGTTGTCCTGACTCGTGAGATAAATTTATTGAATCCTTTGTTAAGTTAATATTAAAAAGGCGCTCTGAACAGACTTTTGACTCACCGCATAACTACTTCATGATTCCTCATGGTAGCTTTAATGACATGAGGAGGGTGATGTGAACAGAAGTTAATTGGCCAAAGCTGTTGACACAGACATACAGAGCCAAGCTCAGTGAACTTGGCTGCACATTGATTGTCAGAAGATTAATATTTTGCTACCAGACATTAAGTCAAATCATTAACTGTGTCTGTTATTAAGCACAGAGAGGTAAAGCAAATGATGTTTAGAGGGTCAAACTGAGTGAAAATGTATCAGAACGCAACATTATGTTCAGAAAACATAAGCTACTTCTGTAGGATTAAGGTGCATCGTTAAAGTACCTTGCAGTTTGTGTTGAGTTTGGTGCCCCCCTGAGGACAGAACAGTACCTATTCCCTCCCATATGTATAAGTGCCTTTTTTTTTTTTTTTTTTACAAAAAATTCCTGCTTTCTTCTAACAGTCACGTGGCTCACTCATAAAGAATCTAGCAGTGAGAATTAACATTTTAAAAAATTGCAGCCTGCTGCGAATCACTTCACCTGACACCTACCCCCCAACACAGTTTCAGGCATTAAAAAATACCTACATAGAAATAATCAGCCGTTATACTGATGGTCTTGTTTGCTGCTGTAGCTCATAATGAGGCGTCAGTATTCATTTCAGTTTTTTAAGAATTAGCTAAAAACTCCTCACGGTAGCTTTAACACGTTTGAATTCCTAGCTTCACAGGTCTGACTGAAAAAAACATCCAGGACTTGTAATTCACTTTTCTCTTTTGAATCTGGCCCTTTTGTATTAATTATGTATTATATAAAGGATATACAATGTATATAGTTGACTCTGTTTTGCACACTACAGCTGTAGAAATAATCTTAGCTAACACTGCTGCCAATACAACAATTTGTGCACCATTTTTCTGAGCTCCAATCATCCTCTCACATCCCCCCTCTGTTTTTCTATCTCTTTTCCGTGTCTCCAGGGCTCAATAAAAGACCAGCTGAAAGCCTACGGGGCCCTGACTGAGAAGGTGACGAGGAGGTACACCAGGCAGATCCTCCAAGGAGTCTCCTATCTGCACAGCAACATGATTGTACACAGAGACATCAAAGGTAAAGGAAAAATGAAAGCTAGCAAAGGTCAGGAAAGGGGTTTAATTGGATTTGTAACCCACACTTGAGACATGGACGTAGCTGGCAGTGTTTAAACGATGCTTTGCGACTCGTTCCGCAGCAACTGTTGCTGAGAACACCACTGATTCATTCATTTCATCCTGGTTGACATTTCCTCATCTGCCGTCTACAGAAAGAGCCTGGAAAAAAAATGTGCTATTTTGAACTCCCCTTTGAGATATATTAGGGACTTCATGCTGGTGAAATCAGCCGGGCTAAAAATGTCCGACACCGGATGGAAAGGCTTTAGTTTGCTTGCCCGCAGCTTTAGGAGTCATTGCTTCGTTCAGCCGCAGCCAAGAAGAGGAAAATGTACCGTCTGGTGGGGGGAAAAAAAAGATAGTAGGTCTCACCGGACACTGGCAGGCTCTATGAGAGTACACATGGGTGGGATTTTCCACTTAAAAATGCTCCTCATGTGTTATATATGATGTGTGTTCATTTCACCACACAAGAGCTGCTCTGTGTAAAGTCAAAGGAGCTGTCAACACATGCTGCTTTAAGACAGATCTGGGCATCACGGCCATGACGATTTGACTGTAAAGTTTTTTTTTGTGCAAATTTAACGTTCCAAGGAGACTTCAATGGACCGTGATTTATTAGAGTCTCACATCCTCGGTGCCGGCAGTGGAAACACATTGACAAAGTGAGAAGTTAAGAGTAAAGGTCACTCTTTCAGTCTCTCAATCTCGTCTCTGCAGCCCTCAGTCCCTCAATGAGAGAGGAGATTGAGCAGCGACTGGTGTAGCCTACATTAGTCACTGATCAAACAAGTGGAGCGTCTGGAGGAAACGGGATAGACTCAGACTACATGTCAGAAAATAACTCAAGAAGGAGGAAAGAGGGTGTTGAGGTTTGATACACGTGGAGCGGACGGCTGATTCAATATTTTATTTTCTGATTTGTTTAATCTACTGAGGCATTTTCTAATTTAAGACTTAAATCGTTCAGTTTTTCCATCATCGCAGACTAGTGAAAGAAGAGGAAAAATGTACCTTTCCCTTCAGGCCAACATCCTGGCAGAGTCACTTTTTCTAACCACACTGTAACGGTACATTAACTGAAGGATACCTTCAGTCCTCAGGAGACTCTCGGATAACTCTGAAATCATCTTTTGTTTTCATTCCTCAAGGTGCTAACATCCTGAGGGACTCATCAGGGAACGTGAAGCTGGGAGACTTTGGAGCCAGCAAACGTATCCAGACCATCTGCATGTCTGGTACAGGAATCAAGTCTGTCACTGGCACCCCCTACTGGATGAGTCCTGAAGTCATCAACGGGGAGGGCTACGGCCGCAAAGCTGATGTTTGGTAAGGATAACATCAGATAGGAGTGTAATGAGGCCCAAAGGGGATATACCAACGATGAAGGACAAAAATCTATATTTTTCAGTGCAGGTGAAATGATAAGCTGTTTCTATAAGGAGCAATAAAGTTACCTGAATCAATAGGAGGTAAAGCCATACAATGATAATTGTTTGGAATGTACTCTATGTAAGGAAAGTCTGACGGCAATTTAAATAATGACTTTTTGTCTATTGCAGTCATTTTTAATAAGAATGCTTTGCTCAGCCAACAGAGGTACAATTCACACAGCAACAATGCTTAAGTTAAGAAGCATACTGTCTCTATCTGGACATAAAACCAATCACAGCTGTGATATGTATGAACTCAGTTGTATTAGTTCAGTTTTATTTTACATAATAAACAAAAACAGACAGATAGCAAAGACAGATATTAACCAGTGCAGGAAGAGGTAAAACACCTCAGATCTTATTTGAAGCTTCCAACTTAATACTGTTGAAATATCACAAAATAAAAGACACACTGAGTTGACACACAGAAAATAATATGAGAACAAAAAGATGTTAAACTAATAATTAAGTATATAGAGACAGGATGGACAATCGAATTAAAGCAGACAATGCTCATGTTATATGCTCAGTAAGTCGAAATTCTGAAATCAACATCTTTGGTTTCTTTTCTCTTTTTTTTTGTCCTCAGGAGTGTTGCCTGCACTGTTGTGGAGATGCTCACCCAGAAACCTCCGTGGGCCGAGTACGAGGCCATGGCGGCCATTTTCAAGATCGCCACCCAGCCTACAAAGCCCATGCTTCCAGAGAGCGTATCCGACGCGTGCAGGAACTTCTTACGGCAAGTGTTTGTGGAGGAGAAGATGCGTCCCACTGCTGACGTTCTGCTTAGCCACCCGTTTGTACAGGGTAGCTTCTGAGGCCCAGGGACCCCCTCTCCCTCCCCCCTTCTTTGCCTGCGAGGGCCTCTGAGTCCGCGGCGCCTCCCCTCCTCTCCGGCCCGCCCCATCCCGAGGGCTCCTCCCAAAAGTCACCAGGCTCCAGGGCTCACTCCAACTTCCTGCCCTGATGCCCATCACCAGTGTCTGCCTTGTCAGGAACCCTGTTTCTCTCACCAACTAGCTCAACTCCAATTTGCCACGCAGAGGCCAGGTTGACTGCTGTCAGACCTGCAGAGTCCTCTGAGGCATCACAGTGTGCTCCCCCAGGAGGAGACTGACGAGGAACCACTTAGCAGTCTCACAAGTCAGACTGCTGTCCTTTAACAAGAGCAGGAAATAAAGGACCAAAGTGCAAGAGCAGAATTGCTCTTGACACTCATTTACTGCAGTAGAACAGTGTGTAGGTATGTAATCCTGACCGAGCGGGGACATCACACCTGACAGTACTGTATGTAACTCATCAGCGAGTGTGAGTGAAAATAAGAAGTTACAAAAATGTATATGACACATTCAAAGTCATCTTAGCAGTTAAGTTTTCTATCGATTGCTAAAAATTGTAAATGTATTTTTGCTAACGCCTTACAATAAGAATTTGTAAGTAAGAATGTCTTTTTTGAAACATCTTACAGGGTTGCATTACCCTACTTTTATAGCGCTCATACGCCCATTTAGAAGGAATGTCAACATTGCACTTTTGATATCGTGCATTGACACATTTCAAAACATGCAGGATAATCAACTGAGGAGATATTTTTATATTTCATTCATGTTTTAAATACTTTCAGAGTTGTGTAGTTTCTTCTTCAAAAAGACCAAATTTTTTGCCGCAGTGTGCAATGTCTATCAATACCAACATTTACTGTTGGAGTCTGACATCCATCCCAGCTTCCCATACAGTGAGCCGTGAGTCCACAGAGAAAAAGGGCCAAAGAAAAGATGCAAGAACTTGTAAAGACTTAAAGTAAATGTGCAGTATTAGTCATGTTGGATTGTTTTAGTCGCCTCAGAGCCCTATAGCCTTTTCTATGTTATGGCAGCTTCGTGCACAGTAAACTGCACAGACCAAATCAGATGCATTGATGTTAACGGATTGAAGTAAACGTCTTATTTACATTTTTCTTGCAACTTCAGTATGAATCCAGTCACCCCATGCCTTTACTTTGCTTCCCACACTGAAAGAATGGCTCACCTGATCACCACTTGACAGCACGTCAAGTTGGAAAGACGGAGCTGAAATGCTGTATTTTGTAAAATGGAGATTTAACGAGACTTTATCTGTTGAGATTGATGTGGGAGGTGTAGTGGCTAGCTGTAATACAGTGGCACTTCAGAAGTGATCAAATGTATTTTGACCCTTGTCAGTGCCTTATCTGAATCTGCTTGTACACACAGATGTTCGCTGCCAAAGCAGAGCGCTTCTTAATAAAGTGAGCAGCTGTTCAGTAGAGCACACGCGCAAGATTTTATATGGAAAAAAAAAGTTTATACTGTAAATACATATTGTTGTGCACTTTTGTATGAAATTTCTTTACATTTTATACAAATCTATTTGATGAAATAGCTATGTTATACAGTAGAATGAACTGTGATTTAGACAGGATTATGTATGAATGTCTCTTTGAAAGCTGGCAGGCGGTATGAAAAGGCTGAGAAGGCTTTCGATTGGGACAGTCTGTTTTGTCTTAATGACAAAGCCTTGAAACATGAAATGTATCAAGTCAATGATCTTTTATACATTTAACTTAAATAAATACAAAGCCTAAAACCACTCTCTCTGTGTGATTTCATTGTGTTTTGTGTGTGATCATATTGCACTGGACTGTAAACAGTTACTTTTCTTTATTTTCTCCCCTCACATACCTTATTCGCTGTTGTGACATCTACTTTTGAAAACATTATTGCATTCATATGGTATTTTACTATTATTATAAATCCAGTAAAACATTGAATTAAAAAAGTACATTTTTAATTCATTGTAGGGATTTCCAGCCTCACCTATATGGAGGACGAAATCTGACAGAAGTATAAATAAATAAATAAATGTATAAATAAATGCTGGAATAAATAAATAAATAATTAAATGCTTGAATAAATAAATAAAAACTGGTAAATAAATGGGACATAACTAATTAAATGTCTTAAATTTATTTCTACATTTATTTATTTTCCATATGGAGACTTCTGTTGACATTAAGCAGACTAGCATGGCTTCAACGGGGAGACCTGCTGCGGGAAGTTGCTGACCAGCTTGAGAACTGTGAGTTTATTTTGAGTTTATTTTGAGTATGCCATTAGATAGTATAACTAGCAGCAGCAGGTCTGCCAGCGGTCTCCCGGTTGAAGCCATGCTAGTCTGCTTAATGTCAACAGGAAGTCTCGTTAGGAATAAATCTGACTGGATCGCTCAGTTGACCAATCCTGAATGAGACTGACGTTAGTCCCTCCTACCTCATTAGCATACAGACCTATGATACGGACACCGAAATGTAGAAATAAATAAATGTAGAAACTAGTAAAAGTGGAAATAAATAAATGTAGAAATAAATAAATATGTAAATGAATAAATGTATAAATAAATGTGGAAATAAATAAATGTAGAAATAGTAAATGTGGAAATAAATAAATGTAGAAATAAATAAAATAAATAAATGTAGAAATACATTTAAGACATTTAATTATTTATGTCCCATTTATTTACCAGTTTTTATTTATTTATTCACGCATTTAATTATTTATTCATTATTTTATTTATTCATTCCAGTATTTATTTATACATTTATTTATTTCCCGTCCTCCGTACGCCTGGACTTATTATTGTCTATTTTGTTCCTCTATATTTGGTTGAACTGCACAAACCTAAGCAATCGTATCTAAATGTTTTGAACTGTGCTTTTTGTTGAATGTGAGCAAGCTGATAAATGAACTTTAAGTTTTAACTGAAGTAAAGATTGACTGTGTAACAGAGTGAATTTCATTTTCTACCCCCTCTATGAACAGAATGTAAAGTAGGTAGAAACAATGAAGTTTACCAGCAGCATATGAGTGTAAAGTATGGTTTTATGTGAAAGCAAAGCACACAGGAGATGGTTAACCTGTATAGTATAGAGTATAGCCTTCAGCTCGGAGCAGCTGTTAAACGAGCTTATAAAACCTGATGTTTTGTAACGTCGTGTTTGGAAACGTGACTCTCCTGAAGGCTCTCAGTGAAACAAGCTGCTGCCTGAACACAGACAGGACACTTATCTTTTATCTGAAACTACTGCAGCCCTTTTAAAAAACGCCGACAATGTCTACCTCCCGTACAGTCATATGTTTACTGAGAAACGACTTGCGGCTCCACGACAATGAGGTAAGAATATTAATTGTTGTTGTTTCGAGTCAGTTATGAAATCCGACATAATATCACTTTGAAACACGTTTAAAACATCCAGTTATAAGTGTCGATTTGACACGATTTGCTGTTCTTGAAACTGTTTGCTTTCATTCCGGAATCAAGATTAATAGTGAAGGTTATGTAGTGTGCAATCTACTTAATATTTACAATCTCCACTCGCTTCATGCTAGTTTAGCACTTAGCTAGAAGCATTAACAGATACACTTCCGATGCTATTTCAGAATAAAAGCCTCGTCAAGTTCTTGACAACTGCACACGTAAAAATATTGTTCGTAGACAATTTTTTTGTGTGCAGTCATGCTTGAAAACAACAGGACTCCAGGCTGAAATAAAAAAAGAAAAAAAAGATTAAATCCTGTTTTTCAAAATAAAATACACCTTTTCAATTAAAATGTAGGCGATGAAAAATATTTTTGCCGACTCGAAACATTAAATAAACATCAAGTTCATGTGTTTTGAATACTAACTGTTTATTTTATTTATTTTACTTCAGCAGGTCTGGTGCATGAGCCATTTTATTGTTTTTAAAGTTTGTATCAAATGTTCTCTAAAGGCTATAATAAAAGTTTGCTGCCACTAACAATGTGCTGTAATAATAGTATGAGAGTTGATGATAATATTGACCCAAAATTAATATCTCTTTATGTGCAGCTTTTCCACTGGGCTCAAAGAAATGCAGAGCACATAGTCCCACTGTACTGCTTTGATCCCAGACATTATGTTGGAACGTACAACTACAACCTGCCAAAAACTGGACCTTTCCGCCTGCGCTTCTTACTGGAGAGTATCAGGGACCTCAGAAACACGTTACTCAACAAGGGCAGGTGACTATGCTGTTGTGCATCTTCCAGGATATATGACTCCAATTTCTGTATCTGCTGCATTATTTACATTGTAGACTTTCTATACAGTTCAACTCAGTGTTTGCTGAGTATTATATTTACCAGGTTAAAAAAGTGATTTTGATCTTTTTTTTTTTTCCTTTTATTGTTACATACATGCATTCATTGCTGGCCTTGATTCCAGCCTTCCGAGATAAAGCTAATGTACTGTAGATGTAAAAGTATCTGGGCCTGTAGGGGTTTATCTTTACATTAACTCATGTGCTGTATTGGCGGAAAATTACTTTGCTCTCTACCCAGGATGCAGCTTGCCTTGTGTATGTATTAACTGGGACCTTTTTTTTTGTGCGTGTGTGACAGCAACCTGGTGGTTAGACAGGGGAAGCCAGAGGAGGTAGTTGCTGACCTCATCAAGCAGCTGGGCTCTGTCAGCACCGTGGCTTTCCATGAAGAGGTAGCTTCATACGGTATTTTCTTATTGTAATTATCACTACTTTAGCACACTGTCTTGTGATGCTCATGTAGATCTGCCGCATGTTTTAGGTCACTTCAGAAGAACTGAATGTGGAGAGCAGATTGAAGGATGTCTGTGCGCAGATGAAGGTCAAAGTACACACCTGCTGGGGGTCTACGTTGTTCCACAGAGATGATCTGCCATTCCCCCACATGTCCAGGTCAGAAAGGAGATGACTCACCTCAGACAAAATATACAAGTTCTGTCCAGTATCCTATTTCTTATTCAAGCCATACTCTGAGACGTGTGAATGCTTAAAAGATCTCGTACATTTTCCTCCTTTATTTGGTAGACTGCCTGATGTGTACACACAGTTCAGGAAGGCAGTGGAGACCCAGAGCAGGGTGAGGCCTTTGTTACCAACCCCTGAGCAGCTGAAGCCCCTCCCCCAAGGGCTGGAGGAGGGCGCTATCCCCACAGCAGAGGACCTACTACAAACAGGTGAGTCTACCCATCTCACAACATCGTTGTCAACTTCGACATTTTGTTGGACAAAAAAAGTAATTAGGTCGGTTCATCCAAGACCTCTTTTCATCCATTTTCAACCGGTTAAAATATTGTTATAACACCAACGTGTCACACACCCATTTCTGTTTTAAAAACCTGATGAATTGTTCATTTAAGCATCGTAAGGGCGATGGAAATGATATTTGTTGCATCAAATTTTCCAAAATCATGATGCAGCAGTGGGTGGTTTCAATCCATTTTATTGTTCATGAAATAAATTTACAGCACTTTATGGGCTGTTCAAATGTTAAAAGGGAAATTTGGAGACTTCGGAAAGACAGCAGTTTTAAACATTCTCCTCCTCAGAAGAAAATAAAGATTGCACATTTGCTGGTACCTAAGCCCTACAGCTCTGACTAGCTATAGACAGAAAGACCCCTGGGTGCTGACGTAGTTATTGGACACCCGACAGGAGCAGGGGTTTACAGGGATCGATGGCTGAAGGTGAAGAAGGGCATCAAAATTAAAAATGGGTCTTTGTGAATTTGCCACAGGTCTACTCCTGCGTGCATTTATTTTTTTCGTCGTTGGTGACTGTAATGCTCTTCTCATTTACAAAATAACTTCAGCTGCTGTAAATATGAGCTGCATCTTAAAAATCTGTGCGTGTGATGAATCTAGTAACAGAAGCCGATTTCACTGTGAAATCTGGTCCAAACATAAAAAAACTTTAACTTTTGAGCCAGTTCTTTAAATGTCTTCTCAACAGAAAAACGCTGCCTGGGATCCTTATCCTTAACGTATCTTGCACTTTGCCTTTGCGTCTCTGTGGTGCATCTGTAACATCATGTACACTTTTTTTTACGTGCCTCATTTTATCACGTTCTTATTTGATGTGCTTATTAAATTGGCTTTTGCAGAAATGCCTTTACATGCTGTTTGCAAGTGGGAGGCATAAAATGCTCATTTTATGCAGTGCCTTTATTGAGTCAAACCACATTGCTTGCATTTCAAAATTCAATAGGCAAACTGCTGCGCACAGATTTTCCTCATTAAATGCCAGCAAGCGAGCCCACTGATATCCACGTATATGATTAAGCTTTTATGGCTCAGTGTGTCTAAATGTACATTAGGGAGTATTCAGCATGTATGAAACGAGTCTGATGCTGAAATGCTTCTCTTGTTATTTTCTCATAGAGCCTATGAGTGATCCTCGCTCAGCCTTCCCCTGCAGTGGTGGTGAGAGTCCGGCTCTGGCCAGACTCAAGCACTATTTCTGGGACACTGTAAGTACACCATCAATCACAAATCTGAAGTGGCTGCTGTTTTCTTAATGACAATACATGTTCTGTAGGTGTAATAAAGACTGTATGTGTTGTATGTTTTGTAGAATGCGGTGGCAACTTACAAGGAGACTCGTAATGGCTTGATGGGTGTGGATTATTCCACTAAATTTGCACCCTGGTGAGTTTTATTCTATCATTTAGTTTACTACTGAATGCCTACTACAGTTTAATGTTCCATCTTACTCAGTCCTATAAATACATCTCTAATGCTGCTCCCCCTGGCAATCCTCCAGGTTGGCGATGGGTTGCATTTCACCCAGGTATATTTATCATCAGATCCAGCAGTATGAAAGGGAGCGAACAGCTAACCAGAGCACGTACTGGTGAGTTTGGAGTTACAGTATTTCGCTACTGCATAAACACAGTTCCTGGAACTCCACATGCAATCACAAAAAACATGCACACAAAATATGAAACATCTCGCATCTCCCGCAAAAGCAAGCACTACGTTCAAAAAAACCTCTTCTGTAAATGTTACTTTTGCTTCTGAGCTTACGCAGAAACTCAAAATAAATGGATCCCTCCATCTCCAACCTCATGCTGCTGTGCGCAATCTCACTGCTGTCTCTGTAGCTGATATTTAAAAACTAGAATTTGTCTTAATGTTAATGATAGGTACATTACATGTTTTATCACAGGCCTATCGCTGCACCCAAATAACATGAGACATTCTCTGGGTCTTTCAGGGTCATTTTTGAACTTTTGTGGAGGGATTACTTCAAGTTTGTGGCTGTCAAGTATGGAAACAGACTGTTTCAAATCCAAGGTGAGACAAGTTCAAGTTTTCAAATCTCTCCAAACTTTACATGAATACTTCTTCCGTCACTGGCAATTCAAACTCAAAGTACATTTTTACCTTTTTACCAGGACTTCAGGACAAATCTGTTTCATGGAAAAAGGACAAGAAGCTTTTCGACGCATGGAAAGGTTTGCACCTTTTACTCCTCATTGTTCATAAACTGTTCTTTATTTAAACACAAAAGAAGTATCTTAAGAGGTGCGTTATATGTCTCATTTCTAATTACAGAGGGGCGGACAGGAGTGCCCTTTGTGGACGCCAACATGAGAGAGCTGGCGTTGACGGGCTTCATGTCCAACAGGGGGCGGCAAAATGTTGCAAGCTTTCTCACTAAGGACCTTGGCCTGGACTGGAGGATGGGAGCCGAGTGGTTTGAGTATCTTCTGGTAATTAGTCGAGGCCGGGTTTCAAAATCTGTTTGGAGTGTTTGAATTGTTAAAAAAAATATTTTTAGGATATAATTATGGGCACAACAGCACACATCTAATGTATAGTTTCAGCAATTTTTAATGATCGATAAAGTAGATTTTATTGCTGAATGCATTCATTTTTGTATATGCCTCCACAGATTGACCACGATGTCTGCAGCAACTATGGCAACTGGTTATACAGCGCTGGCATAGGAAACGACCCCAGAGAAAACCGCAAGTTCAACATGATCAAGCAAGGCCTGGACTATGACAGTAATGTATGTCAAATGGACATATGAGAAATTTTGTCTGGGGCTTTTTAATGTTTGCAAAAAAAAGAACACAAAAAGTCTGAGGCCCTTTTTTTTTCTTTGTGATTGTACTGCTGTCACATTGTGGTGATGAAACTGCCTCTGCTGCAGGGTGACTATGTGCGCCAGTGGGTTCCTGAGCTGCAGGGCATCAGGGGAGCAGACGCACACGCGCCCTGGACCCTCAGCAGTGCCGCGCTGTCACACGCTCAGGTGTCCCTCGGTGAAACGTACCCCACCCCCGTCGTCATGGCGCCTGAGTGGAGCAGACACGTTAACAAGAAACCGGTGGGTGTTTTAGAAAAAGGAAGTGTGTCGTATGTCTACGTGCTGCTGGTGGTTTGGCTTATAAGTATTGTTAAATGTTTAACTGGTGTTTCCAGAAACCCTTTTAGCTTTTACAAAGAAAGGGATGGTCTGGATTTGATTTCAAACTTTTATCAGTTCTCTAGACTTCCTGACAGTTTAACAAATTATTCAATGACATCAATTTATCTAAAATTTACAAAAATAAATGCTGACAGAAAGTCCTAAACCCTGAAAACTTATTTATATTGCAGAGTTTTTTTTGGTCCTTTTTTTCAACCCATGAGTGAGGAACAATTGGAGTGTTTGAAAATAGTAAAAGCTACAATGAGGAGTTTTTAAGTTAGACTGATATTAACACTAATGCCTCTATATGACCCTACCAAAGCAAACTAGACCATCAGCAACAAGACTGATGTAGTTATTTGACACGCCTCTTACCCCTGCAGTGAGCTAGGTGGTTAACAGCCACCTGCAGAAAAGCCTTTTTTTCCCATTCCAAAGATTGATTGAGAGCTGCGCATTAGACATTTAAAAAAAAAAAAAAAAAAAAGATGGGATTTTTTTTTGGGTCAGAAAACACGACTTTCATGTACAGGAAGACATCGGCAGAGAGATAAGAATTACACTTCATCCATAAGGGGCGCCATTAGTGACAAAACCCTAAAGTTCATCCCAGGAGTTTCAAAATGAACTTCAACATGTCCAGCCTGATATGACGTCATAATGTAATTTATAGTAATGTTATCATATATGACTCAGTTAACAATTGTTGTGCAGAGCTAGTGAAAGACTTTAAAATGTCAAGTGCTTCTTTCTGATAATGCTTTGTTTCAGTGGAAGTTTCAATGCAGAGCTTTTACCTGTATTGGAGTATTTTGACATTGAGGTTTCTGTGCATTGCTTAGGTTTATAGAAACTTCTTCCATCAGTGGCGATCAGTTACTTTTAAAATTGTTACTGTGAAAAAACAACAGCTATTGAATTGGACTTTCAGTGATACATCCATTGTTTCTGTTATTTTATTTAAAAAGTGACAGCTAATTTTTGTTTTGCTTCTTTTCCAGAGTGGAGCAGGGCCTTCACCAAGAGGAAAGAAAGGCCCATCTCACACTCCAAAACAACATCGAGACAGAGGCATTGATTTCTACTTCTCAAAGAGCAAAAACCTGTGACCTGCCTCCAAGCAAAAGCTGAGCACACACTGAAGTATGCCTCATGGACAGAAGCTTCAGTGATACAACAACGTGGGCTGCTGCTGTAAAACATGTGATGCACAGTGACATGTGTTTTTTTTTTTATAGAGGGAAGTAGTGTAATGAGGATTTAAGGGAAATGCATGGTCCTTCTAACACTTGCATACTTGTCTTATCTATATGGGCCACCAAGTAGTGCTCATTGAGCACCTTGTACGCACTCATGTTTCCTGTTACCCTGAAGCAACTCTAAAAGCTACAATGTGGTTTTAAGTTCAGTGAATTAGTTACCTGGAACTTTCAGCTTGTGGTTTTGAGGCAATGTTTATCATCTAAGTTTCCTGTTTTTGTTCAGGAATATACCTGATGTTGCTTTTTTTTTTTTTATTAAACTTTTGCAGTTTTGCATATTTATGACAGTTTTGAATAAAGTGCCTTCACTTTCACAGTTTGTGTCTTGTGATCTTTTTTTTTTTTATATGAAATTAGTACTCAAAATGTCTCAATATGATGCTGAATACTTAATTGAAGAGTTACAGTTAATATTTGTAAAGGAAGGATGCACAGATTTCTGTTTCAGCTTTGGATGTAGACAAAGAAACAAAAGGTAACTGATGTAATACAACACTCACTTCGGTGACTTCACCTCCACATTCTTGTGTTACAACGCATTTCACACATAAATGAAAGGAAGCTTTCTTCCTGGTCACCAAAATACAATAATGGAAGTTAATAGACGACCTCACCCTTACAGGAAAGAGCCAGCGGCATCTCTCCTCCCACGTGTGACGCAATCCGCGTGTAGACCAGTTGACATCACTTCCGTGTTCTCTTGTCAGGTGAACTCATTTCTTCACAACAAACTTTCCATGCCCCCAACATCATCGTAGTTCTTCATTCCTTTTCAAACATGGAGTGTATCGACTCGCACCTGATGTCTGTCCCCCTCGTCGCCCTGAACGTCACCGTGAGGAATAAGTTGGGACTTTATCTGAACCCCAAAAACACAGTGGCTTCGGACTGGGCGGCTGTTGCAGAGGCCGTGGGCTACTCATATCTGGAGATAAAGAACTTTGAAAGGTCAAAAAGTCCGACAAAAACGGTTCTGGACGACTGGCAGGCTCGATCCACGGATGCGACAGTGGGGAAGCTGCTGTCTATTCTGACCGAGAAGGAGAGGAAAGACATTGTGGAGGATCTGCGTCCTCTGATAGGTCAGTTTAAGACACATTTCTGATTGTTTCCTTCAACCTAGAATGCTTATGTTACTGGTACACATGCATCATAAAGCATAATAAGACATTTAAAGCTGGACTCAACTTCTGTAGGCTACATGAAGAAATGATTTCTTAACTAAGTTCACAATAATAGTTTGTGGCGATACTAGATTTTTAGACTTCGATACGATATATCTGATACATGTTTGGATATAAAGGCAACACTAGTAGAAGTCATATAGGCACACTTTGGGGGCATTTTCTAGTTTTTCATTACCAAAAGTTGCATGCAAACTCCTGATACTGTCCAAGTTGCAAAAAAAAAATGCACGGGAAAAGTGTTGGTTCCTTTGTAGCAGTTTTGGGTTAAAATATGACTGAAAGTCTGTAGTTTTTTTTCTTTTTACTTCAGTAGCCTACTTTTCATATAATAGCCATCATTAATGTAACATAGTTTGCATTGTATTGTATCATTAAAACACATGGTATGGAAAAGTGAGCTTATAACAGTGACCTAAATGTTGACAAGCTGAATTCTCTTATTACTTAAAAAAAAAAAAAAGTATGTCCACACATGATTCAGCATGTATGAAATAACATTTACCCAAATGAAGGTTGTTTTTAGTGTAATCAAAAGCTGATGATAATATTCAACTCGAGCTGAATTTGTAGGCTACTTATTTCAGCGACACCCAACTCCCACTTTACTGCATGTTAACGTGTGTGTTTGTTCATATCACATCTTTGTTGTGCCAGATGAGGATGTGAGAAAATATTTTGAGAGTCTTAAGAAGAAGGCCGAGCCCCCTGTTCAGGTTCATGAAGTTGACAGCTGTCTCCCTCGGCCTGCCCCAGAGAGGATCGGTATCACCCTCGAGGATGACCCAGAAGGTCAGTATTTTTGGAAAAGCTTTTCTTGTAAACTTTTCATAAACCAAACCAACGCAACTGAGTCCCTTTTGCAGCTTGCGTTGATTACATCAGAAACACATACTGTATTATGATTTGGCACAACGTTAATAATCACTGCTTTTGAACAAGTAATCGTAGAGCTGCCTTTAGGATATACAGCCCCTCTTAGACCAGAACACATTTCTTCTGGTTAGACATAATAAGCAGTGGTAAAAATTGAGAACCCATCTTCACTACCTTACACAGATAGCGATGTTGTTATTATGCTTCTGTAGAATATAGTCTAGTCTTTTGAAATCCATTTGACCATATAAGGATGGAAATAGTTGTGTTGCTGATTTAAATGAATCTTTATTGAATGCAGGTGCTCCTGAGCTGTTTGATGCCTTCATCTGCTACTGCCAGAGTGACTTTGACTTTGTCCATGAGATGATCCAGCAGTTGGAGCAGACGGATCACAAGCTGAAGTTGTGTGTGTTTGACCGAGATGTCCTCCCGGGCTCCTGTGTGTGGACAATCACGAGTGAACTCATCGAGAAAAGGTGTGGTATTCACAAGTGATTACTCTTGTTTTTTCTGTGTTTCTGTTATTTTTTCTTTTACTTTTAATCCAACAAGAAAAACACTGACACAAGGGGCAGATGTAGCCTCCTGTCACTTTGATTTATCGGTTCAAGCAGGTAGTTCAGCCTAAGCAAAAGCACATTGGTTTTGCTGGCTTTTTATCTATGGATTATTATCAAAACTGCTTTGTATTTCTTTTCTTTTTTAAAGATTTATTTTTTGGGCTTTTTCGTGCCTTTAATACAGAGATAGGACAGTGGATAGAGTTGGAAACCAGAGAGAGAGAGCGGGGAATGACATGCGGAAAGGGCCACGGGTGGAAGCGAACCCGGGCCCACCGCTCAAGACGAGAGTCTCAACACATGGGACGCGCGCCCTTAACCATTGCGCCACCAGCGCGCCCCTATTTTGTATTTCTTATTCTGATGCAACACACATTACCTCTTGAAAAGTCATGAAGATGTGACTGTTATCAAAGGATGTGTACCACCCACAAAATGTGGATCACTATCTTTGACTCTTATCAATAATCTGTGTGGACATAAAATGTAAAGTTCACACAAATACTTAAAGGTTTATTTGCCGATAGCAGAATTTCATTTAAATGTAATATAGAAGACCTGCCAATAATAAGTCTAAGACAACCTGTCCCACTTTCTGAAAACCTCGACCCAGACTCTAAATGAGTTTGCAACAATTCTAATACATGCGTAATCTCTGCAGGTGCAAAAGAATGGTGGTGGTCATTTCTGATGAATACCTTGACAGCGATGCCTGTGACTTTCAGACCAAGTTTGCTCTCAGCCTCTGTCCTGGTAAAGTAGAGTCTCTTATGTTAAACAGCACTTGTTTTCTGATTAATAAACGTCTGTGGCACACTGAAAATAACTTTACTATATTTTTATGTGCGCGAACAACGCGTTTCACCTGTGGCTTCTTCAGGTTCGCCCAGCACAATCACTGTCAATAAATCAATAAAAAATATAGTGAAGTTCTTTTCAGTGTGCCACGGACTTCTGTTTTTTCATTATTTGATCCTGCAACCATGAGAACCTGGGAGCATGTTTAGGCTGTGCACGGTGTACCCTGTTGACCATAGATTACCCTTTAATAAATATAACTAAATGTTTCTTCTTTTTGCTGTTACAGGAGCCCGAAATAAACGTCTTATCCCAGTGGTTTACAAGCCAATGAAAAAGCCATTCCCAAGCATTTTACGCTTCCTCACCGTATGTGACTACACCCGGCCTTGCACACAGACCTGGTTCTGGAAACGGCTGGCCAAAGCTCTCGCACTTCCCTAATCATGGACTAAAATGTTAATTGCATTTTTACATGTGCCTTTATATTCCATAAAAGAGAATGTGGGACAATTGCCAGTAAGTACAAGTGCCAAACATTGTTGCTTGTGAGCCCTATCCTGCTGGTTTCTCGATTCACTTTTTATGTGTATATGCAGTATATAATATTATGCTTCGATTTGTGTTTTCTATTGAAAAGATTGATTTCTCAATTTTATTCATACAGAACTCTACGTGCTCAAGTGCACCAAGTACTAGCAAAGTTCTCACTGCACATTTTTTTTTTTTTTTTAAGTATTAGTCATTTGAGAAGTTTGAGTTTATTTTTTACAGAAAATGTACTAACTGCTCTGTGAAGGGCTGTTTTTTTTTTGTTTAGGCTTACTTCCTTTTATGAGTCAACCTCTTGAGGAACACGCAGCTGAAGAGGAAGAGGAAGAGATATTTTGATTGTGATACTTTCACATGCTCAGTTTCACTGTTGACACCTGCACTGAGCTTTTATGTCTTAAAGTCACCTTAAGGTCTGACATTTAATTATCTGTGATAATGTTTTTGTTTTTTTTCAAATGTCATCCGCATTGTATAAATGGTCTAAAATGTTCTCCATTTAATAAATTGTATTTTCAAGTGCCCGTCTGATTTTATTTATAGAGCGTATGCACATTGGTTAAAAGGATGGGATGATGTTCTCCAGCAAGCGTCGCGATTGTGCAATGAACCTCGTGTTAGAAAGTGCACCTTCGTGCATTTACAGCGAACACATCTACATCCAATCACAGAGCAGCGTACGTGGTCGTGTCCAATCAGAGGACATGATGTTTCCGTAGCAACACGCCTCTTTTCACGCAGTAGCTGAATGAGATTTTTTCTACCCTGAGCTCATTCTGTCAGGTAGCAATTTCAGCCGATGAAAGTACTATTCAAAAGTAACCTTTATTGGGCCGGTAGGGGCTTGGCATCAGATAAATTAACCGGAGTAACAAAAAAGGAAGAGGACAATATATGTGGTGTAGCAGAAGTGCAATATCCTTCTAGACTTCAACCTGGGTAAAAAAAGGACCCTCGAGTCTGACCGCCATGAAGAGTGTGGCGGAATTATTTCAGGGTATCTTGCACGAAACAACGTTTTGTTGTGACTTCACAAATAAAAACCAAGAGACGTAATTCAAAGTCACACTAAATGCGATTTCCTAAATGCTTTTGAAGTTAACGTGCATAACAAGTTAAAGCTCTGGTGTCTGGTTAGTGTCTGCTCGGCGTTGAACGAGCCCAGTCAATAAGCCACAAGTGTTAATTGTGATTTACTCATACACACACGAACTGAAGGACTCAGAAGCGCAGCGCGGGGTCCTGCGTGCCTCATCCAATATGTCTGCCGGAGGGGTCCACATTTGCTCAGTCGGAATGCGGTAGGCGGGGCTGCGAGGCTAGTGTCAAACTTTGGGAATGACAGGAGTGCTGCAGGATTCTCAAAGAAGGGGAAGTGTCGCCCTTGTTGGTCCTGTTTGGATTACTTTGACTTCTTTTTTTTTATTTTTACGGACAGTCTTTGGATTCACCATCGTTTCACGTATTGCACGACCCCAGCAGACTCCTCAGCCATGTCGGAGGACCTGAGCTCTCAACCCTGGTCCATCAACAAAGATGATTATGAGCTACACGAGGTGATTGGTATGTGATCCTCCGCTTGTTCGCTGAACGTGTGTTTAACCGACAGTGTGTGTATCTGCTGTTAAATCACTAAGAAAGGGGCTGCTTAGCACATCTAACATTAGCCCCATTATCTGTAGTGTAAAGGAAGCATCTTCTTTCGCTTGAGCTAGGTTAAGTTCACCGCGTGTGGCAGGTTAACATCCTACCCGGGCGGTGTTGGGACTCTGTACGGTTTCTTGTCACCCCGTCCGCCGGGGATGTGCCGAAATCCTAAACGAGCCTTATAACGTTACTTGTCTTTTTTTTTTTTTTTTTTTAAGGGTATTTAGTGAAAACCACTTTTCATTGAAGAGTCGGGTTATTCATGTATACAGGTAGCTTAACACTTAATGAAATGGCGTTGTATTTAATAAAAAAAATATTGTCGGCTTCTTCTTTTTTTAAATTTGTCCCCTTTGTATTTTGACACAGAACCGAACAGAAGGGACTCTATTCTGAAAAGTTGGTTCATGTTGGGAAAACAGTGTTTTACAGAGTAGAGCAGGGGTGGGTCACATGCGGCCCCCCCCCCCCCCCCCCCATCGACCCTCAACGTGGCCCTCAGGTCAATTTTTACATACATGAAGAAAACATGACTAAATATGCCATGAAATCATGAAAACCAGAAGTATGTCCATGATAATGTTTGATCACTGGTATATGTTGAGTTAAATTGGAGAACAAAAATTGACTGTAATCGTTTTTGTATACTACAATTTGGCCCCTCTGGCAGTGAGAATTAAATGAATGTGGCCCTTTGCTGTGACCAAAGTTGCCCCATCCCTGGAGTAGAGTATGGGACACACAGACCATGTTTCACTCATACTCACGCCCATTTCCAATTAAAAAAAAATTCACGGGATCTTTAAACGCTGAACTTTTTCCAAAACACTTGTGTTGCCACTGCAACAGTCCAGAGATTATACTTCCTGGCCCTTCCTGGAGTGAGGGTATTGTTTTGGGCAATTTACTGCCAGAATTAATCCAGTTATGCGAGCGCTCTTTGGAGGGGGATTAATAAGTATTATGGGGCTTCAAGCCACGTCCCTCACAGAAAATAGGAAAAGCCATTTGATAATATGCTGAGTAACATCATCATTTATACTTTGTACTGTGATGGATTGGACCTACAAGCAAAATAATTACGGTATAAGGCTAATTATAATCTAGATGTGTGTTTTTTTTAAGGTATACAATTCAATATTTTCCTTTAAGGAATGCTTACATTTCTCTTTTAAACCCTCCAGTCTAACAGGAAACCATGCTTCACCTTTTCTTATTTCTGATTATCTGACAGGTTGGTTGACCTTTTTTGAGTGACAGCTTTTACTTATGAAGTTCTGAAATATCCCATCCCACAAATAGCCGACCTCATCCTACCTTTAGCTGCCCTGTTCCAGGAAAAGGAAGGGGGAAAAAAAAAAAAAAAGCTCAACCTATAAGCAAAGTATTGTCCTCCCAAATCAGTTAGTCTATGCCTCTGGTTTGCTCAAGTGATGCACGCTTCCTCTACAGGGAATCTGTTCTTAAAAAGGTTCATTCTTTATGCCCTAAATTAAACTTGTTTTTTTTTTAAAGACTTAACTTGAACCCATTTCTACACCCCTTAGTTTCTTGGAAAATTTGATCTGTGTGGCACCCCACAAGATACTTCCCAGCAATTTAGCATGCACACATAGATAAAGCCCCTTTTGTGTAAGAAAACCAGTTCTGTGGCATTTTCCTCTGCCGTGTGTGACACAAATTGTCAGCATGGGCTTAAGACGGGTAAAGCCATTTCAAGGTTGGACTGCAGCACAGAGTTAAGTCAAGAGATCACAACCAGCAACTGATTTGGAAATGGATTTTGCAGAAGGTTTTGTTTTCCCCTTTTTTTTTTTTTTTTTTTTTTAATGAAATAGCAATAACTGATTTAGTTATGCTAATAAATCCAAACAAGTTGGTGTTTTCCATACTCCTTGTGGACGCCTCCTAAATTAATATCAAACCTTTTCCGACATTCTGTAGAGTGTTCCATACATATGTGATAGTCCATATCAGCCTGAAAACAAACTTCTACTCAACATGGCAGCATCAAGCCAGGCCCCCGAGACCTTAACCCGCCTCTGAGCCCTCACTGTAACAGAAACTGTTGAGGAGAAACTGTAAGCTTTTTCATTCTAGGGTGATGTTTGATACAGCCATTCTGCTCAGCTGGGAAGCTTGGTGTTATGATGACGGTCCGGTTCACCAGCAGAGCTATTGTTTTGGTAACTTCCCGAGGGAAAGAGGACTTGTTATTACATGGATCACACCCACTCCATTCACCACCACTGAGCATCAGATCATACTGGACAGAGCCCACAGCTTACTCTCTCATTCTGGATCAGACTCTTGGATCCTTTGTGTTGGCAAAACCCAACTGGAAACATTCTGCTCCCAGTGTTTGTATCCGCCAGTAACCATGTTTCCTCCCTGTTACTTGTCCTCTCCCACAGAAGGAAACGCATCTCACAGAGAAGCAACCCCCCCCCCCCCCCCCCACCTACCCAAGCTAACTTTTGGCTAATTTAATGTCAGTTTCTATGTTCAGACCACAAGCATTTTTTGAATATTTCAAAGGAAGTTCCCACAGAAGACTAGCGACCGCCAGTGAGGCTCTTTGTGATGTGTGACATGTCTCATTGTACCTTTGAATAATGTGTGGAATGTCAGCCAGGTATGCAGAGGAAATGTAATAAAAATGGAACGACGTCATGCACTAAACTGACGTCGTCCTTTCAAATTAAAGGTTAGACAAAATAAATAAATGATATAAACTGGCCTGTTGAGGGCAGGAAAGACAAACTGAGAGCTGCTTCCACTCCGCTGGTGAACTAGTCCATAAGAAACGAATTCAGGGCCAAGCTAATCTAATAAGATATTATACACGGGGCGCAGGGTTTTAAAAGCTGAACTCCAGCAGTGAATGTTCTGTGTTAACCTTTCCGAGACCTTTTTTATGTAACTTTATTTTTTACTCGTTAACAAGGCAAATATTCACCAATTATGTGATGCATCATGGTTAGTTTGGAGTCTGTAGGATTAACAACCCTTTAGATTTAAAAAAAAGCCTCCTGGTATTTCAGTGGTCTTAAACCGCTTTGATATTAATTTTAATTAAGTATTCTAAGTTATTATAATGCTGTAGCTTTATCTGTGTCCATAGTAAGCCAATTTATCATTTGGGTGCGATCTATTTGTGTGTCTCTTTAATGCTTATTTAATAGATTTCTTAGAGATGGACCAGACGAGGAGGAATTCAAACATTCCATACTCTGCAGTCAACTCCCGAAAGAGCAAATGTGTTTCCTCTCTTCAGTATTAACAGTAGATCACAACGTGTAGAGCTGTAAGTATATTGTTGTTCATAGAGCACCTTTTAGCAAAGATAAAAAAAAAATCAACCATCTGTTGTGTATCTGCTGAAACAAAAAGACTTTGTAGGTGTTAAAGGGTTTTCTTGCTTTTGTTGCTCAGTTTTAAACTTTAAGTTGAAGGGTTTATTTTCTGGAGTTTGTTTATGACGTTACCTCAAAGTGCTTTCAATACCTAACCGAAAATGAAACGAGAAAATAAAATGAAACATGTACAAATAAAATAAAACAAACTGGTTACCCGGAATCCCTCAGGCACGTCAACACGCCACATTTCCAGCTGTCAGCTGGATCATTTTCATTTGATTTTGACTAATGTGGTAACTTAATTTATAGATTTGATTTAGACCGTCCCGAATACAAAACAAGCCAAATCTTGTTGCTGTCCCCTTGAAAAAGAGAGTACCAAAAGAAAAGCTTTCCATTGTTTTTTTTTTGTTTTTTTAAGAGCCGACCCCTGTGTTCATATTCTGTTAATGAACAAAAGAGAGACACGCGTCCTGTTGGATATGATGTCTGCTCCAGACGTCTGTGAAGCAGATTCAGTTTGGATGCTGTCTGTGAAAATGACAATAATGTGACCGTGTGTTCATTATTTTATCGAGTCAGATGTTTCGCTGGCTAGTGTCGGCGTCCCACATCTGCAGACTTGGTCGAGCAGGCAAGTATTTACTGTAGAGGTGGGAACTACATGGCCCACAATAATGATTACATCACGACACAGCTATTATGTGAGAACTGATATTGTACAACAATCATATAAGGAAACATCACAGTAGCTGATTAAAGAGCACACTATGCAGGATTAATGTTTAGTATTCGCTGCAAATGCTGCCGGTTTCACCTTTTATCGTACTTCTTCCTATAACTTCCACATCGCTGTTACCCACATTCATGTCAGTGCCACCATGAAGTAGTGATGCGGTGAGTCAAATTGGCAGGGTAATCTGTTTAGAGAGCAGTATTTATCTAATTAAAAGGCATGAGTACTCTTGGGAGTTTAACCTTGCACTAATCTTGTTGGAAATACCGTCGAAAAGGGGGCTTCTTCAGTCTACATAGCTTGTATGTGAAGCCCTGAAGACACTTGACCTTGCCCCCCCCCCCCCCCTGCAAACCCAACAATCTCCTCCTTTTTTTTTTTTTTCCACCCTCCGCACACATACAAGCACACATGGTCTGCAGCTTGTCCGGGCAGCCACCCCTGACAACTGGCTGTTTGTTTGTGTGGAGGAATTTACACTCCGTTGTGGACAGGGCAACAGGCTCCCTGTGGTCCTGCTAGGGCTGAGCTCCACCATCACTGGCCAGCCTCCAGGGTTCTGTTTGGTGTTGCTGCTGCTGCTGCTGCTGCTGCTGCTGCTGCTGCTGCTGTGGTTGATGGGGGCTATTTGCAGGTCTGTTCAGGCCCTTTTGAGCAATGGCGCAGGGAGCTGGGGAAAGGCTAGTATCAGAGGTTGTCAGTCAATGGATGGCATCCACTGCAGATTTAGAAATAGAGCTTTCACGTGCCCTAAATGTGTGATGATGAACAGGACCTGTACTGTCTCTTCACTTTTAGAAATGGGAATGAAGTGGCAGTTTCACTGGATTCATCTTAAAGGCCGGGGTTTGTGTTGTGGTTTATTTAAGTCTTCGCTGTATTGAAGAGGATTTTCTTCCTGTTTAATACTTCTCCCTTATAGCCTCAAGTCTTAATTATCTTTGCTGAAAAGCATTAAATAAAAAGCAGTCACATCTTCAGTGACAGTTTTACTTTTTAATTAATATCAGGGAGCTGCTTTTTTCCTTTTTTAATATAGCTCTCTTTTCTTTACCACTGGCTCTATTACAACTCCAAACAATGAGCACTTTGTTAATATTTGGGCATAGCTAAGATGAGGGAGGTTAGGAAAAGCTTACTGGAGGGTGAACCGACTCACCTCTCACTCTCTAACTCCCTAAAGCCTGTTGCCAGAGGAGAGTGTGTTCCCAGCATTGCTCAGCGTCACCTATACTCCTGAGATGTTGTGGAAACAGTAATGTACGTGTGTGCGTGTGCGTGTGTGTTTGTGTGCCGTCATGGCGTCAAGTAAGAGCACCGAGGGGGCAGTGAAATGACCGCACACGGTGCAGGAACAACAGGAGTTTAGATTTTTACTTCAACTATCATTTTATTCAAACTAAATAAGCTCAGTTCTGATAATAATCTTTATAGTAAAACTTGCACAGACCACCCATTGTTTCTAGGATCCAAATTTTAGAAATGAATTATGCAGTGCTCTGCCGACATAAGAATGAATTGTGGCTGCGTTAAAGTGATATAAGGTGTGTGTGTGTGTATCTATAGCCGGCCAATGGCACACGACTTTGCTGTTGACTAATGTTTCTTGTAGCCACTGAAATCTTGAACACCGTTATGCTGCTTCAATCAATTCCTCAGGCTGATTTATTGACTCACACACAAAGAGATTGATCAAAAAGTTATTTTCAGAACTGTATTAAGTTTCTGTTTATGCTAAGATAGGCTATGAATCATTATTTATTTGGAGAAAACCCACAAACTGATAGACATATTGGGGTCATTATTTGGGGTCATCCCTATAGATCTAGTCTATCACAGCTTAGTTATGTGAATATGAAAAGAATTTGCCAAAGCTTGGATCTAACCACAACCTTTCTTTTCCTGAGATGACTGATGTTCTGTTTTTTCTTAACCGGGATGATAATTTGTTGTTGTCCCATCTGTTTTAGGGAGCGGGGCCACGGCAGTGGTTCAAGCAGCCTACTGTTTACCACGCAAGGAGAAGGTGGCTATCAAGCGTATCAACCTAGAGAAGTGCCAGACCAGCATGGACGAACTCTTGGTAAGACACACACATCAGTGCTAGGTTAATGCTGTTTAGATTAAAAGTGCGACTGCATACAACACCCGAACAGCAGAACCTGCTACACAAAACGTGAGCCACAAGCTTTGGACAGCAACAACGTCATCTTTGCTTTAAAAGTCTTCCTTTTAATCTGACTTAAAAACATGAACGCCTAACTTGTTCGTGACCCAAGCTTGTTGAAAAAGTTGCCAAATAAACATTGGGGGGGGGGGGGGAGTGCACTGCTGACGTCGGTTTGCCGGCAAGATAGCTAGTTAACTCTGCTGCTCAGCTGCAGCACTAAATGTCATATAAACATACCAATGTCACCTTGGTCAGGTAAGACGCTGATGTGGTCCTCTATACTTCAATACCACTAACAACACGCTCTCTGTCTGTGACATTTAGGCCATTGCGCAAGTTTGTTTATTTTGTCTTTCCTTCATACGGTGAAACACGCGCAATCTTGGCAGGCTGCCAGCTGCTGTCAGTCAAACTCAGACACGCCCCTTTAGCCAGCTGGAACAAAAGGTTTTTCTCATTTCCCTCTATTGACAGTACATATAAGAGCATGATCAAGTTATAATGGCATAATAAAAGGGTGACTGTATGTGATTCAATTGCACTTTTTTATGACCTCTTTAAAATGGATGTCTGATCAAAGGGATTTACTCCCTCACAGGCTGCACTTCACTTTGTCTTTGTGGCCTGTGCCTGTGGATGGAGCGAGTTCCACCACCTCTGCTTTTCATTACTCCTCTCCTCCAATCATGCCTGTCACTTCAAACGCTCCTCTGGTTGTTCTCTGGAGGTGGACTCCACTTACTGCCAGGAAACTATCAGACCCCCCCCTGTGGGGCATCTTCCTGAAGACCATATTTTGTCTTTGTACCCTCCATGCAATCATGTTCATGTGCCACCCTCCCCTGCACATAGTGAGGATTAGGTGCTCATTTGTGGTTTTGGAAACTACCTGAATATATTTTGTACAATACGAATGTTTTGTGTGCAAATCTTTATTCAGACCCCCACCTCAGTGACCATCACTGTGTATATCTGTCCTTGAAGTGAAATGCAAGGGGTGGGACAAAATATCAACACAGCGACTCGTCTGATGTAATTATCAAATCGCTGGTGTCAAATATCACGATTTAATGCAGAAAAATATTGCACTCTAAACAGATTTCCCTGCCAATTTGATTCACCGCATCATTACTTCATGACTCCTCACGGTGGGTCTTAAGACATGAAGGGGGGTAAAGAGAACACATTTTAATTGGCTAAAGAAGAACCAAAGGATAAAGAATGAAGACAAAGGAGAAACAAGGGGGATAATGTCTGACAGAGGTGAAAAAGGTTGAAGGATGAAGCGTGAAGAAAGGTGAAACTGACATCACATTGCAGTGGTTACGTGCTTTAATCGCTGTATCGTGTTCTTATTGTTATAATGGGCCAAGTCCTGCGTGTTATGTCACTCAAACATGTCGTATCGTGAGTTACCCCTGCAATTCCAACACCAAGATTCATTATGAGGCCAATTTAACGTCGACTTTTGTCAAACGAGGAAAGACTTTACGCTTATTGTCTGAGCAGATTTCAGGGCAGCATAGCATGGTATCTGTCATCTGCTCGTCCGCAAAGATACCCCAAAGAGCTGTTTGCCTGCTTAGAAGAAGCGTGATTAATAGATTTGTTTTACGTTCTTATCTAAAGGTCGGTAACAGTCGCCTGTGGGATATAAATATTGTGTAAGCCCATAGGTGTGCATGAAAGATCAAGGCTAGAGATTACTGGAAGGTTTCTCACTATTCACTGGCAACACTAAACTGAGGAGTAACAACCCCCCCCCTCAATTTCTGGAGGATGAATCAGGAGAATGTTGCTCCCGGATTCTCAGAGCAGGCGGTCACATGGAGTACAGCGAGGTCGGATTTCCTGCATGTGGTCCACCCCTCCATTTCGACAGCCTGCTGAGTACCTGCTTAAGCAGCGAGGAAGCATTAAATTGAACCAGATTGCTCCCCTGAAGGAGCAACTTCAAAAGGGGGGATGCCAGAAGGTTGTAGAGAAGCTTGTGGTCTTTAGTCTTACCTTGGAAATTCTTTAATGTCGGAAAGGCAGTAATCGGTCATGTCTCTGTGTTCTCTCTGGTATGTTGTAGTTATTCCCGGTGCAGGAGTTTGATAGACAGGTTTCTCACTATTCACTGGCAACACTAAACTGAGGAGTAACAACCCCCCCCCTCAATTTCTGGAGGATGAATCAGGAGAATGTTGCTCCCGGATTCTCAGAGCAGGCGGTCACATGGAGTACAGCGAGGTCGGATTTCCTGCATGTGGTCCACCCCTCCATTTCGACAGCCTGCTGAGTACCTGCTTAAGCAGCGAGGAAGCATTAAATTGAACCCAGATTGCTCCCCTGAAGGAGCAACTTCAAAAGGGGGGATGCCAGAAGGTTGTAGAGAAGCTTGTGGGTCTTTAGTCTTACCTTGGAAATTCTTTAATGTCGGAAAGGCAGTAATCGGTCATGTCTCTGTGTCTCTCTGGTATGTTGTAGTTATTCCCGGTGCAGGAGTTTGATAGACAGGCGCTTTTCAGTGACTCAAGATGGATCAGATGGGGAGGAGGGTTGTTTACAACTTTAGTGCGGTGCAGATTGAATATCCTCCCGTATAATTACATAATAGTCACAACAACTCACTATAATTATATATTGAAACATATGTGAAAATTCAGATTTACGATATTGTTTATGAAGTGTTGCCATGCAGGATAGGTGTGGAATTGGATATTAGATCGTAAAGAATTACAATGTGTTGACGATCTGCCAATGCACAGACATTGTATTATCTGACTGCAGTGCACATTCTATCCATACCAGTTCTATTTTCAAACACAGACTCTTCCAAAGTGGTTTTTTTTTTTCTCATCCGTATATTACCATTGGCTAGCCTGCCTATGCCTTCCCCACAGACACACTGACAACCCAATCATAGCAAACTGAAGATTGTGTCTGGGATTTGTATTACTCTTCATTGTCTTATCACTATTTATCATTATTTAAAATATCACTACTACTTGTAGGCATAATCTCAATATTTAACAACTGTTTATACTTTCTCTGTTCACCATCATTCTGTAGGATATACTGCCCGAAACCCAAAGCTGCCACAAGCACAAGAGAAAGCAGCTATGGTCAAATTCATAGGCTGGCAAATATCGGTGTCTCTCAAGTTGAAGCTGAGGAAGTGATTCAGTATATTTGAGTTCTCAGTGTTAAGATCAGATTTAAGTAAGTGCTTCTGTTCCTCTGGTGTGTGTGTGTATTTGTGTGTGTGTGTGTGTGTGTGTGTGTGTGTGTGTGTGTGTGTGTGTGTCTGACGTAACATTGCTTCTATAGTGGCTTCTCTGTGTGTCTGCTGTCAGTGTGATTCTGTGGCACCAGTTTGTGACCCAGCACTGTATTCCCTTTGTGACAATAGGTCATTTATTTATTTTTGCTCAGTTTCAAGGTCCTCAAACGCGCCAAATACTGCCTTCAGTCAGGCCACAGAAAAACACACTGGCCTGGACATGTCCATTTCCTGCAGAGGCTTTCCCAGGCTAAACCAACTGAAGCGGTTTAGTGTGTTGAGCTTTGATTACCCGATGCATTGATGTGAATTTATAAACCCATCATAAGATGGAATACTCCAGTGTAATGTCTTTGTTTAAAATAAACCAACGTTTTGTCCGTTACGTTACAGTGAATGCACTGTTGCACTGCCTTTCTTCTTTAAACAAACAGGAAATGGGTTGACATTTTGAGGAAATATCAGTCAAGGGTTACTGACTTTTTAAAGCAAAGAGGTATCCACTAAGGAGAGGAAGGTAGTGTTGATAGAAAGAATGATGGCATGCTGATGTAAGTGTGTTTGATGTGTTTATTGATCCAGAGTTGTGGCTCACCTCCTGCCTGCAGGAGCACTATACAAAAGAGATGCAGTTCAACCACACTTAATCATTCCTATGGAAGCACTGTTGCACTGCCTTTCTTCTTTAAACAAACAGGAAATGGGTTGACATTTTGAGGAAATATCAGTCAAGGGTTACTGACTTTTTAAAGCAAAGAGGTATCCACTAAGGAGAGGAAGGTAGTGTTGATAGAAAGAATGATGGCATGCTGATGTAAGTGTGTTTGATGTGTTTATTGATCCAGAGTTGTGGCTCACCTCCTGCCTGCAGGAGCACTATACAAAAGAGATGCAGTTCAACCACACTTAATCATTCCTATGGAAGCCTTAAGAGAACATGCATCCATGCATTTTAATGACTTTGTTTTAGAGAGTGAGTCATTTTCACTTGTTTATCAAGATCTCCGATTAATTAATCTCTTATCCCGAGAGCTGCAAAAGCTCAAAGCAAACAGAATTAGGCTGAATTTACCTCATTAGTGTGGGCAATGGCAGCATGGCATGTCATGGCCTGGCCTGTCATGTGACCAGCTACCGGTAGTTCTGTTTTAAAGATGACCAGAATATTACAATTATTACCTGTTATTACCAAAAAACAAGATTAAGAGATACATTAATCCATTATAATTGAAACCAGCTCCGTTATCTCAACATAAAGAGGGAAAAAAGTGGAGAATCCCTCTTTTTAAGAAATAAGACGACTATAATGTGTCCTTCACTCGTGTTTTTTCTTCGTGTTTGAATGTGCTTAAAAGGAATCTAGTGTTCCATGTTCCAACATAAACTAGATATGTAAATAAAGCCAGATAATTTACAGGAAGAGTAGTTTATTTTGCCTTCACTGAAGTGCAAACTGTGCTGTGACTTTGCTATCATGCAGAAATACTTGAAAATACTTTTTTTTCCCAGTGGTCATTGGCGGGTACTGCAAAACTATTTTAATGGGGTTCCGCTAGCCTAGTGGTCAGTGCAAACTCCCCATGTACTGTGTGACTATAGTCCTCAAGCAGGCGGCCGGACTCGAGTGTGACCTGTGGGTCCTTTCCCACATGTCACTCCAAACAAAGGCATAAAAGGCCAAAAATAAACCTTAGAAATATATTTTCACAATGCAAAGTTACGTGAAACTCAACAAGACAGAAGGGATACGAATATGTTTAGAGCGATGAGAACGTTTCCCCCTGTCTTTGCTGCTGCAGAGGTTTACAGTGACCTAATCCCCACAACAAAGAGTCTCTCTGATTCACACATTGTCTGCTGGAAAAGATGGGAAAACCTGCCAACTGCCAGGGCACGATATCCTCCCTGTTATCCCATTGTTTTTCTTTTCTGGGGTTACCCTGGCACACAGAGCGGTGGTGACCTGCCCCTTCCACTGTGTCAAGAGCAAACGCGGTGGGGGGGGGGGTTAGCAGCCAATGGGTGATATTATCATTGTTCTCTGTCGGCCTGTTGTATCCAGAGTATGAACGATAGGGGAGACGACCCACAGAGCTCGCTGTCTGGCCCGACAGACTGGAAGTTATTAGGCTGCCTGATAATCCCAAAAGGCGTTACTGAGAGGGAGAGTCGTGTGTGGGCTCACCTGTTGGTCGAAAGAAAACTGTTGATATCTCGAGCGCTTTCAGTTTCTTTTCTTTTCACACATTTCACCTCACTGTTTTTCTCCACAAATCTGTGAGCATTTAAAACATGTCTGTATGTGTCACAGTCTGTAGCCACCTTTTTAGTTTAGTTTTTTTTAACAACCCTTTGTCAAGTGCTCTCTTAAGGCATCAACATGTCACCTGCCTGCTTTAGCCTCTCTTTGCCTGAAGAACTCAATGAAGGCCACAGGCTCAATAGTGATGACTGTGCAGCCGAGGGACACTGCTGCTAATGCACGTTGTGTAAGCTAAGCATTTATGCAGATGGAACATCAGCCTTCGATTGCTTACTTCTCAACCCCTGCAAGCATCTATTGATTGAAACGTTTCACAAATGTTTTTGGCTCAAGTGTTTTTCGGTTTCTCAGGTGTCAGGCTTGTGGCACACCTGTCTTTAACAACTCTCAATGGCTATTTTAAACAACACTCTGCAATCTGGACAGATATAATCGTTTGTGGTGTAAGCCTATAATTAGATGAGAAGGCCAATATCGATTTAAAGACTGCACACCCAACATAGAGAAACTGCAGCTCTTGCACATCATCATGTGGCTGAAAGACTGAGGAGAGGACAGGAAATGTTTGCCTAGCTCCTTTTAAAATTAAGATGTTATAACTATCTGTGCTTGATAGCAATAATAATAATTTGGTGAATTGGACATAAAGCACTCATGAAAAGTGGACTTGATTTCATGAGCTGCGAAACACTGATATGAGAGTTTGCTGCTGGGGAAGAACTCTCAGTGTCCCGGTGCTTGCAAAGGGTCATTTTGAACGTTTGGTCATTTCTTTCATTCGCTGTGTTGTAAGGGGTGATATTGTTTCAAAAGAAAAGGTTTGTGGTGATGCCTAAGTACAGGTAGTGTTAAAATGGATTTCCAGTAACAGGTTCAGTCATTTGTCAAGTCGTTTAAATGGAGAAACAGAAGCAAAAACCTCCTGACTCTGAAGTCAGCTGGATTTTCTCTTTCCTCGGAAGCTTCTCTATCCTCAAATGACTTTTAGGACCGGTGCTGAAGTGATGGATTAGACCTCTGTGCCAGCATTACCTCAGCTCCCTTGCTTTCCAAACACACACACACACACACACACACACACACAGGGAGCTTTACAGCTGTATAAAGGACTGAGCTCTGGCTGTTTTTTTTCGCTTCTGCATAGATATGCATTATATTGACCTCGCCTGTTTTCTCTTCTGACGTCATTAAGATCTTAAGCATTGTACTAAATATCAGGAATAGCTGCAGCGTCAAAGGACTAGGTGATTATTGTATCTGCTTTCAGTCGATTTCCTCCAGGCTCTTCTCATACCTTACTGTGGGAGTCAAAAGAGAATAGTCAGCTTCTAGGCACAATTCACCTTGGATGAATCACAAAGAAGGCATATTATGTGCTCATCTCACCACCACCACCACCACAACTATTAACTGCTCTAAAAATGTTTTGTTTGCCTGTTGCTTCTGGAAAGGGACTAATGAATGCCATAAAATGAGTTCATGGGACCTGAAATTGAATAAAAGTCTTTTTTTTTTAAGCAAATAAACAGCTTGTTTGTCATGAAATCATCAAAACGCTATGTGCTACCATGATGAATTCAATTCTTTCTTCCCTGTTTTTTTTTTTTTTTTTTTAATAGAAAGAGATTCAAGCCATGAGCCAGTGCCACCATCCCAACATCGTGTCTTACTACACCTCCTTCGTGGTTAAAGATGAGCTTTGGTTGGTTATGAAGCTGCTCAGTGGCGGTAAGTGCACGTTTTCCCATTCTTTTCTGTTTTTTTGTTTTTTTTTACGTCGCTCTCTTCTTCTGTGTTTCACTCTGACTATCTAGAACCAGGGCAGACAAAGGAATCAATCACTTTTTTTTTAGTTTCTGATGAAAAATAAACTGATAGTTTGGTCAGCTTTGTGAATGCATCAAACAGAGCTGTGTGTTAAAGTCATATCAAAGAGGTCTGGAGATTTTGATAGGTTCCCTCTGGACACACAAGAGGGGCAGTAGGAAGATCCTGGTTACCTGCTGCCCTTGATGTTAACTGTGATTGTTGGGAATGTGACAGCACTGATCCTCATTGTGTCCCATGTGAGCTGCAGCTCTTTTCTGGGGCTTTAACTGAGAGCAGCGAAGGAGCTAATGACAGGTTAGAGGTAATAACAGCCCGCAGGCCGGCTTCATGGCATCCATGTGGCAGCGCTGCAATTAACTAGTGAGAGGAGCATGAAGAGGAGGCCACCACGGAGAGAAAGATCCTTAAAATCCAAGGATTGCATCTGCTTCTGATTGTTTTGTTCCTTTTTCTTTTTTTTTTAACCAGAAACAGTAAGCTCTAAGTAAGATCTAAAAGAGCTTTTTGTTCTTGTGGATGTGAGGAATCCTAGACACAAACTGCCACATTTGATAAGAAAGAAGCAGTGGTTTTCTTTTTCTTCGGAATGAAGAATGTTTTAAGGGAGCTATGGTCTAATGTATGCAAAGATGTAAAAATCCACATTTCTTTCTTTATCCTGTTTTTGGTCGCACAGGCTTTATTAGACGAGCTCTGGAGAACACAGATAGAGCCACACACCAAATATTTACTCTCAGTTTCCCCCCTCCCCTGTTCCTCTCAGCCCCTCTGTGTAAACAGCGTCCCACTGTAACGGATAGTGCCCAGGTGGCATGCCAGGCTCCCTGGGATACACTCGAGACATGAGCTGCTTGGCAGCCGCCTTGCAGCTGGGCCGGGGGGCATGGTGCCCGCCAAGCGACGCTCGAGCAGGCAGCCAGCCGCACAGCAGGAGCAGACACCGCTCAAGATGGCCTCTCTCATTCCCCTTATCCCTGTTAAACAGAGGCCCTTGATGTTGGGTTTTATTGTGCGGTGTAATTAAATGATGGCCGCGGAGTCGTCTGCCATGGAGACAGACCTTAAATGAGGTCTGGTTTATAGAGCATCGCTCCACAAGGCAGAGCATACCAGCTCTGAGAAGGGCTAAGTCCTTCTTCTTCCCCGGTATCCACCCTCTGAAACCACCCTGGTCTTCTCTCTGACTGTTAAAAGACGGATTTCAACGCCATCGTTAATCTGTTATCTGCTCGAGATGTTTTCATACCAAGTTTTGTTCATAATGTCCTGATGATAAAGTAAGAAAGTACGTTCTCCCTGTCCTTACAAAGAATGTTGTGAAACTACATAGCACTAGATCACTTGGGTTTGCACATGACAGGAAATGACAAGCCAACTGCAAACGCCTCCCACTGACCCCACTTGGCTGAAAGACTAAAGGCTACATAAAGAGATTGAGGCCCCGTGTCCAGCTAGTGTTTTTTTTCTGGGCCCCAGCGTCCTTTTAAAAAAAATTGATTTCAATAAGGAGAGAGTGTTTGCAGCAGCAGGTGGGTGCTCTGCCTTTTTTGTGTGGCCACTCTCAGTGCCTCAAGTTGATAATCTTTCAACCTTTTAGAAAGGCGCTGTTGACGTCATCGATGCTCGTTTTAAAATATACAACATTGTAATTTTGTTCTCAGCGCACAACTCGCTTCATCCAAGTGCACCGCACATCACTCTCACATCACTCTCACATGTTGAGGGATTAAAGCATAAGTCACTTGCAGATACCAGTAGGACTGAACGGAAGTTGAACTGATATGCAAAAGATCTGCTGATAGGTCGCTTATTTTCATCCAGCATATGGCTCATAACAACCAGCTCTGTGTAAGTTCTGTATAAAGTTATGGTGTAAAGTTCAACCCTACGTTGAATCTATTTAGTTTGTAACTTAAGCTGTGTCATTGTTCTGGTTATACAACGCAGATGTTAATGTTCATCTAAACTAGTAGAGTGTAACATCTGAACTAACCAAAATATTGTAGCAGAAACAAAGTTTTGAACTTCATGTGACCAACGAGTATTTTACAGTGCTGAATGTGGTGCTTCATTTAAGAGACTAACAGCTTAAAATAGCTTCTGCTGACGACCATTAATCGAGAAAAAGCGACCAAAACGTTTGTAAAATATGACAACACTTCACGATGAGGTGATAACTAAAGCCTACATCCTTAATCTACAGCAAGTGTAAAATACCTACGGGGTGAAATCGTCAACGTAAACAATAGGTAGTTTAACGGTACTCTAGTATAGGGCGGAGCAAATGATCTCCGCTCATTGAAAAAGAAATCAGGAGTACAAACAAAACCATCATACATTTCTAGGGGATGTAATGTATCGCAGAGAGCGCCCTGCTAACGCCAAACAGGCAGGAAAACACCTCGACCCCTCATCATCCTACAAGTTAGTCAACCTTTCAAAACAATACACCATGGCAACTGTATTTTACGGAGGACTTTACACCTACTACAACCTGGGTTTAAGATTGAAGTTTTAACTTCTACCATTGTTTGAACTATCTCAGCTGGTGCAACACCTAAATCACAAGACGTGCATCTTAATGAGCAATTACATTCAAACTCGGCTACATTTTAACTTGAGTATAGCTGGTGCAAGCCAATGCTGGTCTTCCACAGATCCAGAAAGTCTCCCATTACAGCAACATACCTTAAAAGATCCAATGATGCCACTGAAACCTGCCAACACTCACTTTTAAATCGTGGTGTCAATTCAAATATATTAGTTTATACACGCTTAGAGGCTACAATTGCAGATTTGCGTGTTACACAAAAACCCTTTACATCAGTGGATTAATTTTGACACTCCCTTCAGTAAGAGTCTTACAGTCATCCTTGATGCTGATGAACTCTTGAACCTGTGAACTTCTTGAGATTAGTGAAAGTGAGTTTAATGCGAGGCTCCTGAGATCATACACTTTAATATCGGATGTCCAAATACAATGACCTGTTGTAATGGGAAGAGCTCTAAGATCCCCTCAATCCTCTCTGGAAAGTCCTTTCAAGGCCAAACCTTCGAGCTCATCTTTTCAGATCGTTACCCAGCATGCACAGAACTTTTCAGCAAAATCCTGTTCCGAATGTGACACACGAACAACTGTTTCATTACAGCGCTACACAACCTGTCGGCGACTGGATTCACATCTAGGAGACATCCACTGGTGCCCACAGGGATAGAATATGAGTCATGCCAAAGCAAGCAGAGGAATGTGTTCCCAGGAGATTAGTGCGCTGCCCCTCACCGACCCACAATCACGGCTGCCGAGCTCAATCGAAATGCCACTCCGAGTGAATTCCAGCTTAAGACAGATTGTTATTGACGGTTTGAATTTAGCATATGAAAAGACTTTGTCAAGTTTGGAGCCAGTGGATTTGTCACATCATGATGTGGCCCTCAGCTATTGCCAGAATGCTGACAGGGAGCTTTGATTGTGATTCTAGGTTCACAGAGTAAAGACAATGGTGTCTTAACATGCAGAATTACCTTTGTGTCATAGTGTTCCCGTCCTGTAGAAAATGATGCAGCATACGACAGTTTTGATGGAAACTTGAGCCAACAATCATCTCTTCTTTAACACCTATGTTTCCCTCGTGCCACACCCTCCCTCCACCCTTTCAACTTTGCTTGGCATTCCCCATCGGCCTTTTGCAAGCTCTCACGTCCTTCGTCCACTTTTCCCTTATTTCCCTCTCTTCCCCTTTTCTCTCTTCTTATCCTCTCCCTGCGTCCCATGCTCGGACCAGATGATCGAAAATTAGTGGAGTCAAGAGGCGTTATGTTGAACCTTCACAGTTTGAGTTTGAAATCCAAAGAAAAAAAATGAGAGATTTGCTTAATCCAGCGTGAAACGATGATTTGACATTTTCCTGAGTTTTTACACGCTCTGTAGTGCACCGCACTGTCAAGACTTCATTGATTCCCTGTGATTTGTCTTCCCTCTGGGCCTTGGACATGTCCTGTTCATACACGGCCAACAGGTGTCATTTATCTTTGAAGCTTCAGTCTTTTCCCATGCAAAATGAACTTTTGATTGTTACCTGTCAGTAAAAGTGTCAGCCCGTTGAAACAATCTAATGAAGCATGCAGAGTTCAATCAAATGCATCTGAAAGAGGCTGACAAGGCTGACATTTAGTGGTCCTCCAAAGTCTGCATCAAGCTGTGTGTGTGCACTTTAGAAATAATCTCCCTCACTGCTGCCTCGGCTTGAAGAAGACTTGGCAATCTATGATCAAGGAAACTTTACTTACTCTCTTTCTTTCTCTTTGTTTTAAGATGGTCCAATAACATTTCATTAGCTGTACCAAGTCTGATACCTTTACTTTAGTCTTGGGTAAGTTTCCCCAGATATCAAAATATACAAATCATTGGTGAAGTTAATGCTCACATGCTAGCTGACAATGCTAAAAACTCTTGAAGCGCTTCATTGTTGTAGGTTTGTGTTGCAAAATGTTAACGTACCTGAAAAAGTAAAGATCTTTGGAGCCACTAAGATTCAGTATTGGGTTATTGTCTTGAATAACAGAACTTATACCACACTATTGGAAGCCGATACTGACTCGGCCACAAGAATTGGCACCAGGGATTTTACCAGTGACTAATTTTCCTGTTGATTAATTGTAAATATAAAGCAGACTGGTCAACTAGTCTTTATTTATAGAGCACTTTTCAAACAGCAGGCAATTCAATGTGCTTCAGACAGGCACAAACAGCATTTCAAACATTTCACAAGATAATAATAAAATAATTGTTTTTTTTAAAGTCTAAGAAGGCAATAAAAGTTGAGGTAAAAACAGTAGAATCAGTGCAAAGCATTTCACTCTAACAATCAATCCTGTTGGTTTGCTCATTTGCTGGGCTCTTTGTGGCTGTGCTGCTACACATATATTCATCAATAGAAAACAGTAAAAAAAAAAAAAAAGCATGGTAGGTAAGAAAACACTCAGAAAACACTGAAAGTTAGGAAAGCAAAGTTGAACACTGGTCAAAACCATACAACGCGTGTAGCCTATTTAATAGCTAAATGAAACCGTTCATTACATTTAGCTATAACCTCATTGACAGTTACTGCTGAAATGTGTGGCACTTCGCAACATGCATTTCTGTCATTACTCTGCAGGTTGAACATGTTCTCCTGGATCATGACTACTTCTATTAGACTAAATCTCCACTCATGCAGACCTGACTTCAAACACTCTTCTTTCCTCAGGAGCTTCCTCCTTGTCACCTGTCACTTCCTGTCACATGCCCCCCCCCCCCCCCTTGAAACCACTTCAGACAGGCAGATGAATCTCATACTGAGCACAGAAGCATTGAGAGAGGAGGGAACCATGCAGGGAGAACAGAGGAGTCAAACAGGCTGCCTTTTCTCAATGAGCTTCAAAGAACTGTCACATCAGAGACGCAAGGCTGCACTCTTCTTTCACCCTCCTCTCACTTCTTTCGAATTATCTCGCATACACACCCGCTATCTTACACACTCATACACACATGTAGTCTGCTTTTACCGCCTATTTTTCATCCCGTCCTCTCTTTGAATGGGGGTCTCTTTTCAATTCCTCACTGCTGAATCACAATTTCTGCCGTGCACTGTAACTGCAAGAAGAACCCGTTGAACCCATCGACTCTCCCTCTCTCTCTCTTCTCTTGCTCTGCCTCGCCGCTACATCCTGATGTGTCTAAATCGCTCTGCAATAACACCGTCTAGTCTCAGGTGGCCAGTCATCGCTGTCTCCTCAGGGTTATGCAGTGCTGGGCTGAGAGCTCCAGGCGAGGGCACCCTGAAGTGATTTAGCAAATAAATATCTTTGCACCCCGTGTGTGTGTGTGTGTGTGTGTGTGTGTGTGTGTGTGTGTGTGTGTGTCTGTGTGTGTGTGTGTGTGTGTTTGTAAGAAAGATATGGAGGGATATGTGGACAGTATGGCAGCTTGTGTTCCCGTATTACTGCAGCACAATGCAGCTTGTCAGGCAAGTGTCGTTTCATCATTTCGCCCATTTTTCTGTCAAACCGAATGCAAATAGTGAAATTGCTTTTCAGAGAGATGTGCTTTATTCTTTTGGAAAGTTGCACAAAAGAAATCAAACTCTCACAGCAGAGCAGTCTTACTCTTCATCCAGAGCACTCCTTTTATTCAGCCGGAGCCGGGCCGAGTGAGACGGGGTGAACTTTCGGGTCAGTGAGCAGAGAAACATTAGTTCTCTATTCAGCCAGGAACACTCAAAACAAAGCAACAGTTTGACTTATAACCTCCAATGTCAACATGAACACCAACTATTTATGCAGATATCAGGCCACTTCTAAGGCATTATGGGTAAATGCGCACACAATATATCACTGTAGAGCTTAGTTCATGTTTGTGAACTTTTAAATTGAATTGAACTGCAGAGAGACGGACGTAATGATGATGTCACTGGGGTGAAAAGAAAACTTTGCGCTGCTCTATTGAAAAACAAATAATGTCATGACTCTGACAGTAGCCATGGTGATTTTTAACTGTGAGCTCAACATCCAAATGAGTCTCATTTGGATGAAAAAACCTCAAGCCTGTGTGCCTCCAAAGTAAAATCTAATTTAAAGTCACTGAACCGAGTCCAAAAAAATTATCAACAATTCAGGGCTTGTGGCTGTTCACTCACTTAGAAATTTGACAGTGTTTAGAGATACCGACTCTGCTCTCTAAAATCACAGCTTAAAAACTGATTTTTTTTCCCGTAAACCATTAAAGTATGCATACAAGTGAATGTATTGATTTGTCTTTCTATACCATTGGTTTGTTGTGCCATGGCCAAAGTCAAAGTTCATGGTGATTATTTGACCAAAGGGATTTTGTCTTAACCAAACTACCAACCAACTAAATCAGTTGTTTTTCCCTTCAATAAAATTCATCCCAGTGAAACTGGAAAAAAAAAGTTCTCGTGTGTACCCACAGTCTGATTCACCCAAACAATATTAGCTTATAAACTAATTATCTTGACTGATAGCCTGCCAATCCATGGAGAAGTATTTGTTTTCCTAAATATGGTTTGGTTTTTAGAGTAGGTTTAACAAATTATTTGGAGCTCGCCTGAGGTGACTTTCTCATTGATGCGGAAGCTGAATCATCTCAAGACCAGACACAGACAGTTTCCTCACCCTGAGGCCCTACTCTGGATAGTTTTCATTTTTTCACACACATTAACGTTGACAATCACAAATGTAGTTTTCATCAGAGATAATCGACGCATGTCATCACTGAATTCCTTTTATTAACCACCGTCCTGTGGTTGTTTCCCAGGCTCCGTGCTGGACGTGATCAAGCATACCATCTCACGAGGTGAACACAAGACGGGCGTCCTGGACGAGGCCAGTATAGCCACGGTGTTGAAAGACGTGCTCGATGGCCTGGAGTACCTACACAAGAACGGACAGATCCACAGGTAACAAGACTCACAGCCCTCCACTCTGGTACTGTAATAAAGCAGACACAGGACGGTCCATTATCTACTAACACGGCAGCTTTATAAGACTTCACCTTGAGAGTTAATGGAGCCCAAATACTCAACTCTACCCCTCTCTCTCAACTCTTTATCCTCTCTGTTCCTCCTCTAAAATGTCTTACTGATATTAAGTCCACTACCTCCACTACATGGGACGCTGTGTATTTTTAGTGCAGTATTTTATCTTGTTATTTGCAAAGAAAATTCTGTTTGAGGGCAGTCATGCAGATATGAGTTGGTTCCCACTTTAAAACAAACGACTGTACATGAACAATGCATTTGTTATTTGTTAACATATCTTCAGCTAAGCTATGCTAATGCCCACTGTCATAAGGTGCAGTAGTGTACTTATTAGCATGACTGTGTAATTCTACATTATCTGGACTTATTGTGTTACTATGAGATCCTCATTATGTGGCATCTGCTGCCTGCACACTTATTTCCATTATTCAGTTTAGATGTTTTAGCAGTCTGTGAAATGACTTCATGGTCTTTGTTTATGATTGAATGCATAGTTCAATACACAGAAGTGATTGGTGTTATCAGTATAGGCAGATAGGAAATGGGAAATGGCATTTTTCAGCATGCCACTTTCACTCCTAAAGGTCAGGGGTGTCACCCCGCTCTGTTTGGAGATGAGGCAGTAAACTAACCCCAGTGAGTCTGCAACAAGTGATCCAGAAGAAGAAGCAGGAATGATGTGCTCATGTTGTACCTCTTAGGTATTGTTAATGTTACCAAAGAGGGGCTACGCCTGATTCAGAAGTTTGTCAAATCATTTTTGATCACATTTATTCTCCTGATCTTCTTCTTCTAAGATTAATATCTCGCACAACTCTGATATCAGCCAATATGAGTTGAATATTTCAGATTCGAGACACTTATCTGTGAGTTTCCCAAAGTTCCCGCTCTGGACCAAACATTTACTTCCAACAAATCCTGATAGTGTCTAAAAGTCACATCTTCATTAACAATATCATTAAGGTCATAGAAAGACAGTATTCAGTTAAGTGGCTTAAATTAGCTGCAGCATGTCCTAAAGCCCTGTTGGAGTTTAAGTTGGTTAACTGTATTGTTACAGATTATCATTACCTGGTCTGTTTGTTTATAAGAGGAGGAGACCTTGAGGGATAATTCAGCTCTATTTTGGTAAAATCCACCCACTCGGGGGGGTTTTCATGACTTCCAATGCGAAGAAATCCATAAGTAGACGACCACTACTGTGCTGATAATCTTTTAGTTACTATTTGAATGTGCACCGGTGGAATGTGTCAATGACAGATTTGCATACCACAGGAAATCTGATCCTGAAAGCCCTCCTCTGAGCCAGTTCAAGACCCGGATAAGTCCCTGCACTTAAGCTGGGACAATGAACCCAGTCGACTCTGGGCTGTAATAGTCCTTACACCACCTCGTCTGTCTTCAGTGTTCATTACTTGTTTTTTTATTTGTCTCCCTTCCTCTCCCACTGGCACACATATTGCCCAGGACAGGGGGCGATCGAAAGCTTTGACCATGGACTTGGATGACAGATTTTGTTTTTAGCTGTGAAGACAAGGCTTTGCCTCATTAGGCTGCTGCTTAGGAAACTCCTTATCTTGAAGAGAGTATAGGTAGAGATGAAAGGAATTAGTGTAGCCAATCTTTGAATTAGGGTGTTAATTAAAAGGAAAATCAACCGCAGTGTACCTCTGCTGCAGCCTTTAAGTATCCACTTTCAGCCCAGTGTGACAGGGTTATCAGTCAGAGCCAGAGAGAAGGGAATGTTTTTCCTGAGTACTCTGTGCCGGGTCTAAGGAGACATTAGGGATTCATTAACAGATCATTCATTCATCAGCTCTGGCCGCCCCGGGGCACTGAGGTTCTACTGCTGAAAAAGAAAATGGGAGGTATTACCCCAGAGCTGAAAATCACTGACACGCTGAGAGCGGAGAGGCGGCGGTCACTTGATCGGCGTCTGCTGATGTAAACGTGCGCTTATGGCTGTGCGTGTTCCTCCTGTGTAAGCTGGATCATATGAGTCGGAGCCTCGGGGGCAGGGGTGACGGAGAGAGCCAAGGGGGTGAGGCTTGACGAGAGGGAGCAAGAGAGAAAGCATCACATGATAGGTTCCATCCAACTCAGGACGGCAGAAAAAGCAATTAGAGTGTTGCGGTCAGGGCTATATGGCCTCAACCTGAGACATATTAACACAAGACAGCGAAGTGTTCTACCTCCACGTTTACAGCAGCTCAGGGAGGCAGTGACACTTGCACTCTAACCTGAGGAGAAGGCAGACATCACACACATGACGAGAGGAAAAACACCTTCTCTTTTTAGATCAGGCTTTAAGGTATTTATCAAAAGAGACATTGACGATCCAACTGTTGTGGATAGTTATTTTCCTCTCTCATCTCTAAAACCTCATGTCTTCTTAGTAGTGGTGGGACAAAATAGAAATACGGCAAATAAAATTGCCTTGACTTGGGTAATATGATTATCAAATCACTAGTGCCAAATATCGATATTTCCAATTTTATTAAAAGGCAGTTTAAAAAGGTTTCCCAGGCAATTTGACTCACTGTGTCGCAACTTCATGTCTCCTCTAAGTGGTGCTTATGAATGAGGCTAACATGAAAGGAAGTGAACTGGCCAAAGAAGAAGTTGACAGCAGATATAAGAAGAAGAAGAAGACAGCTGGATAATGTCAGGCAGCGATGAAAACAAGTTCAGAGATGAAGCTTGATAAGAAGTCCAACTAACACCGAACTGAAGTGAATAAATACATCAATCCTGAACTTTACCTTTTTAGGGGCATACTCATATACAGTTAATCCGATATCGTGATTTTTTTCATTGTATGATTGTCTTGCATCATATTGCTATATCAGGATATTACTGTTATCATGGGTCTGGTATTGTCTTGTGTGTTCACGGCAGGGCCCTGCTTGGGAAATGACTCAGTAAGCAGTTTAGTAATGACCAGTTAATGACTGAAGTTATGCTGCCTACGGGAACATAGACTCTCTAGCTGTGGGGGTGACGTTAGCCTAGTGGTTAGTGGGCGCGCCCCATGTACAGAGGGTATAGTCCTCCAAGCAGACAGCCAGGGTTTGAGTTTCCTATCTCCAAAAATAAAACCTTTAAAAAAATGAATCTTTACCTGTGATTCAAACAAGAACATTTTCCTCATAAGAAATAAAAGTGAATTCAGAATAACAGATGACAATTCAAAGCAAAGCTAAGGGAAGATATTTTTGTGGTTAGAAAGGGCACGGCTAAAAGAGAGGCGGTATTTCCTCTCCATAAGGGACCCAACAAGGCGCCTCATAAACCTTCTTTTTACAGCCCTGTTAGGGGGCAATATGAGCCTGGCACCAGGATGTGATGTCACTGTAGGTGAACTGACCAGCAGAGCTGCAAGGTGCAGGGCTGCCAGATGAGAAAGATCAATCTTCTTGACAGTTTCATTTGGCATGTCCTCATTTCAGTCGCTCATAAATAAGAACAGACCACACAAATAGCGTTCATTTTCCAATATTTCTCGGTTACATAACACCTTCTAGTTTCTGGCATCAGATTGGAAAGGCTTTAATGTGCTTTAAAAAATATACATGTATGATAAATGAGTTACTCTTCCAATAGGAGCTTGACTTGTAGGAGTTGGGACTTTTAACGGCAGGTTGGCGTTTTCCTCTCCGCTACAGTTTTTCTTTGAACTTGCGTGGTGCATTGTGTCACCACCTCCTCCTCCCTCCCCCTCCCCCTCCTCCTCCCTCCTCCTCTTCCTCTCCTGTGAATGTTAATGACTGTCTACACTCTGCAGCCTTTTCTCGGAGCATTACAATCTGCTGCAGTGAACCGTAGCCTCTGTGGTTTCTCAATGAGTGTTAGAGGGACGCAATTAGATCCCCTTAATAACTCTTAGTGAATGATGCAGTGTCATTGGACGTCTTTTTATCAAAGTCATCACCTACATATAATATTCTGGTCGTATTTGTCAGAGATACGTTTTTTTTAATGGTTGAATTTTAAAGAATCAAACATTAACAGTGTCTCAAAATGACCGCAGCAGTAAAGTGTTAGAGCTTTATTGACAAAAAGTTATCTTGACATAAAGTGATTTAAAAAAAAAAACTCCATAACCCAAATTTGCTCTCTAGTGCATCTACTTAAAAGCTTCCAAAAGTTTCATCCGATGACTGAATGTGTCAACACTTATTCTGGATAATGAACTACAGTTGCTGTCGGTCGACCACTTCCCCGTTGAAATATCATAACTTTTGAATGAATCGCCATTAAATCAAGTACAGCTACTCAAAACGTCCCGAGGATGAACTCAAGAGATTTCAGTCATCCTGTGCCAAGTCTTCTCGGTTCATTAGCGTCTCAAAGTTTTCAGTCTTCTTTGAAAATATCTCTTCCTCTATTGGATGGAGTGTGTTTATAGAGACTTTCATGCCATCCCAAAATATTTTGTCATACTGGAATTTTGTGACCCCCCCCCCCCCCAATCTCGTAACCTATTAGCGATTATCTGACGACAATGTACGCCTCTTGGAGCGATGGCCAGCTTTTCATGACTTTCAGTTTAGCCATCAGTTAGCGGTGCTTTGCCTTTGTGACCAGTCCCACTGAAGAAGCATGAATGGTGTTGGTGTTGAGAGACAATTTCTTCAAGTGTATTGCACTTACATGCAGATGTCTCTTCAGAGACTTAGATTAAAGGTAAATCGTCGCTACATGTGAGCTGATGTGTTCTGGGATTGCGTTACGGCAGATTGCGTTGCACCCTTATTAGTCCAGTTTTGATGCACACAGTCACAGACCGCTGAAACTCTGCTGGATGTCACTAGTTTGACTACAACTAAAGCAGAACAACTTGCACTACCAAAATCTGGTGCCCTACCTTCAGATTCTGTGAATGGAGATTAGTGATCCCCTGACTTTTTGATTTTCTATGACACATAGACAAAAGACTTCATTCAAAGCCATGTTGTTTGGTTTAGACAATGATGCCCCTCCCTACCTGGAGGACAACTATCATCTTCCACCAACATCCTCTCAAAATTCAGAAATTTGGCCTAGCTTGAACCCACAATGCTTCAATAAATGATAGCTCACTTTAAGCGCAGGCCAAGACAGTAGGAGTCAAGATGGGACCCACCGAGAGAGGGGCAGTGGTTGTGTAAACGAGGAAAAGTATTTTGGGATACTCCCAGACTTGCCTTTCAGCCTCAGGTGGTGAACTCTGCACCTCCCCTCGAATCCTTAAAAAGCAACAATCTCAAATTACCAGACAGTGAAGCGTCCCTGTTGTATGTAGGTGGAGGATGAGCATGCTCGTGATTAAGCAGAAGCAAGCGAGTGTTAGAAAACTGGAGGATAACTGTGACCTGATATCACCGAGCTGTTATGTCAGGGCAGCGGAGTGACGCTGGGATGAGACGGAGAGCCGCGGAGCAACAGACGTCTGTACGGCAGCCGGCAGCCCTTTAGACTGTCATGTTGCATTTTCATCCACAATTTCCATTCATCTGCATCAACCCCAGTTACATAGTTGAACTCGTCTAGACACAAATGTAGAACACACACTACTTTTACAGCCTGAGCAAAATGGCTGAAAACCCAGTTTCAGCAGAGGACACGAAATAGTCCGCCGATTCCATATCTTATGTAGTTTAAGGATGCTTTTATTTTCCCAGCAGTCATTTGGCTCTTGGGTGGGAATCCCCATCTTTGCTGTCAGCCAATTGGTTCTAATATGTTACACATGCTGCATTCCTTCCCCCTGTGGCTTCACTGCCACTCCCTGCTCTTGTCACTGCAGAATCTGTTGTGTTATTTTACTGGAGCACTCGTAGAAAAAAAAAAAAAAACTGTGACCCGTCTCGAAAAACACATTGTGTGTTCAGAGCAGGATTCTTATAAAGCTGAAACTTTAAACCCGTTTGAGAAAGGCCGCTCGGGCCAAACGTTCTAAAGCATGCTTCAGCAGTTTTCTTGTCGAAGAAGAACAATTATCTCTGCAACTTTTGCCCCCCATCAAACTGGCTTTTAATGTGAGATTATAGTTTTTAAAAAATGACTTAATTATATCCTATAAATCTTTTTTTTTTTTTAAACTAAGTCATCTTCAAAGCAGACCATCTATTTTTACATTCATTGAGAAAAATATCTCTGCTGGAATGATCCAACAGCATTTTCTTTTCGGTAAAGCTGCATACGTTTGTCTCTACTGCCCCCGTCTGGCAGCAAGATGAACTGCTCAGTGAAGGAGGGCTGCATCTCTTTTGAATCATTCTCTCCCCTCTCGTCACAGTTAAACGAGCTTGATCTGGTCAGTTGTGAAAAGGGAATTAATAATAAGTCCTTGAAGATGATGTCATGTCTGTCAGTGCCCTGGTTTACTTTTTCTTTCTCCAATAAAACTCACATTGGCTTCTGTGAAATTTTCAACAGGATAAATAACTGAATTTTGTCCCTAGGGACCTTCCTGCTCTCCTTACTTTTTTTTTTTTTTTTTGCCAAACTTGAACCGTTGACCATATCTCTAAAAGTCTGTTGCTATGACAACTATGTCTGGGTGGTGAGTTGGCAGTATTCACTCTGTGAAGCAGTCTGGACATTTTTGTGAGAGTGTGCACGGAGGCAGGCAGGCAGCCAGACAGCTTTCCCTGCTGAATCCTCTTATCACCACCAGGGGAGGCTGAACAAAGACGAACAAATTAACCGCAGACTCTACGAGGTGGTAATAAAGTCTGAAGGTGAACGAGTTTACAATAAAAAGAATGAAGCGGTAAAGCCTTTCTATTGCGCAAAGATGTGTAACATATCGACATTTTTGAGAATCTTTCAATCAGCAATTTAGTAAAAAGGAGATCCTTAGCTCTGATTTAAGAAGGTAACATAATTAAAAATGTATAAGAGATGAGGCAATGTTTCCAAAAACACAAGTTAACCTTTAAATGAGTCGTTTTTTTCTGACTTTATTTGTTTCACAGTTAGTTTTGACTTTCTCTAAACGCTTAGTCTTTGTTCTGTCTCAGAAGTAAATCTTATAATACACACATTCATGTCTTGTCTCTCCCAGGGATCTTAAGGCAGGAAACATTCTCCTCGGGGATGACGGCTCAGTGCAAATTGCAGGTATTTTACCACGGGGCAGCACCACATTTCAACAGCTGTCACTGCTGATCCAGACAAAGTGTGAAGAAGTAGCTGTGTCATGCTATCACCTGATTTCCACCTGTTAGACTTCAAACTCTGTTCCTCCAGCTCAGCGTGTTTATGCACCGAGACTAAGAGCTAAAGAAATAAACATCCTTTAAAAAAAAACAGTTATTGACTTAATGCACGCTTCGTGTGTGTGTGTGTGTGTGTGTGTGTGTGTGTGTGTGTGTGTGTGTGTGTGTGTGTGTGTGTGTGTGTGTGTGTGTGTGTGTGTGTGTGTGTGTGTGTGTGTGTGTGTGTGTGTGTGTGTGTGTGTGTGTGTGTGTGTGTGTGTGTGTGTGTGTGTGTGTGTGTGTGTGTGTGTGTATTTTTCTTCATTCTTCTCCTCTGTCTCTCTTCTCTCTCCTTCAGACTTCGGCGTCAGTGCCTTTCTATCCACAGGTGGTGACATCACAAGAAACAAAGTGCGCAAGACGTTTGTGGGAACGCCATGCTGGATGGCCCCAGAGGTTATGGAGCAGGTTGGTCGTCTCTAGCCTAGAAGTGTCCATGGCAACGGGGAGCTCACAGTCAGACACTGCTGTATCTAAACCGGCAAAAACAGCAAATGATCATTGACAAAGAAGTCTACACTTTCTTACTTGCATACTCACTTACTTAGTAAGCTGAAACAATTTTAGAAATCTTAAGCCTGTGGCCGAAAGTGATCTTGTGTGACTCAGCACTACAAGACCTTCTGTAAGACTCTCATGCCTGAACCAGTTGACACACAAATCATGGTCTGTTTTGTTGCTCTCTTCTATGACAAGACAACCCTTTTTTTTCTCTGAACACACTTTGCTTTCTATGTTTTAGTTTGTGGTTCTTACTAACACATAAAGATGGAGATTATCTGTAAAAGTTGATGATATATGGTTCTGTCTTTACAGGTCAGGGGTTATGACTTCAAAGCAGATATTTGGAGCTTTGGGATCACGGCAATTGAGCTTGCAACAGGAGCCGCACCTTACCACAAATACCCACCAATGAAGGTGAACGCATGGTCGAGCAATTTAACCTACCTCGAAATGTGTATTTGATACCCAACAACAAATGCAAAGTCATACTTTTATTTTTAAAATGTGTGACTGAACAACTCCCTGGTTTCTTCAGGTCTTGATGCTGACGCTGCAGAATGACCCTCCAGCCCTGGAGACCGGCATCACGGACAAGGAGACTGTAAAGAAATACGGCAAATCCTTCAGGAAGTTGATCTCCATGTGTCTTCAAAAGGACCCAGAGAAAAGGTGTTAGTTGTAAAACCTTTACATTTAACCCCTTCCACACATTCAATGCAATCAAGAAATGTTTGCAGAAAGTTTTCAGGAGGGCTCCAAGTGTCAACGCAAACGGCAGAATTCCCTCCCCCCCCCGACTATACTCACACGGCAGCCTCCTCGTAAAAAAAATACTTTGTTTCTTCATACGGCATCTTGGAAATGCTGTAAACTTTCTGCTTTTGTTTCTGCAACATCCTTTTTATGTCACTCTTTGTCTCTCTGTCTGATGGGGAAAATCTCCAACTGTGAGGGAAATTTGTTGAAGTCAACTGGAAAATGTCAGAGACCTAATATCCTGACATTTTCTAGTAAATTATCAGAATGCATGTGTGACAGGGGCTATAAAGCCTTGTAACATAAATATACAACTGCTTTATCTGCTTGAAGCATGCAATAAGTGCTGTTACAGATAGTTAACTTATCGTTCATGGAACTTTTTTTCTATAGACTGTAAGTTAACTTCTACTTAACACCATGTTAACATATGTTGCAGAACATTTCCAGGTTGATAAATGCTCACTTGACCAGACTCATTCATGTTCACCGTGCTGTTTTTCAGGCCAACATCCTCAGAGCTGTTGAAGCATAAATTCTTTCAGAAAGCAAAGGTAGGTGCGTAAGCTCCCACTGTGCCTGAGCCTGAATCAGTTACACAATGAGTCAGCATCATCCCTGTTTCATCAGTTAGGCTGGTTGATGAGTAAAAGTCTGAGCCTGCAGAACTGATAGGATGGCCCCACATTGGCCTCTGTTTAATGTTAAGCCGACCGCTATGACTGTGCTTTTAACTTTTGAAGGAGGCTTTAATGTAAGAAAAAGAGATTAAAAAATAAACCAGTAATATCTCGGTGCTTAAGCGTTTTGTCTGAGTCAGGCTACGTCTAACTCAACTTGTCAGTGTGTCTGACCAAGATTGAGGCTATCGCAGCGTTCATCTTGTTATTGACCATGTAGAGCTGTTTTTAACAAAGGCAGGCTAACTCCAGCCTCTGGCTGTGCAGTACCCATAGGAACAACTGAAGTGCTGGCTCAGCGTGTCACATCTCCAAATACAACCTTTGGACCTGAAACAGCAAGAAGTGTAGTACCCTGTCTGTACAGAAGAGGGCAGGCTTTAGTAGTGTTTCAGAACACAAACTCCTCTGGCACAAATCAGCCACTTTATTGGATGCATGCCGAACTGCAATTGAGATCTGGATTTACAAGAGAAGTCTGTAAGTCAATAAAGAATTTGAAATTTTAATCCCTAATGAAAAATCTCTTTTTGAAAAGAATACAAATCTCACACTGACAGTTACAGTGTGATTATGTGGTTTAAAGTACTTAAAGCTTGATTTCAATAACCTTCAGTTTCTGTAAAAGCCTTACAGTAGTAAGTTCATGCAAAGGAATTTAAAATGTAAGCAATAACTCTGAAAAGAAATGAAGCAGGTGTCACATTCTCTAAATGGACTTTATACATTTCAATAAGTTTGGAGCCATGACAGCTAAAGCCTGCTCACCACAGTCAGCAGCCCTCGTTTTGATGACCCTGTATCGAGTCTGCACCTGACTCATAGAAAATATGTCTGGGCAGGTTGAATAAAAGTGAAGAGTCCTTTTAAAGTAGTTCAATGGATCTGGCCTTATTTCTCAGACAGGAAAGCTGCTGTTGAATTTTGTTGGTAGGAGGAATTTGGAGTGACGGCCGTTTCTTTCTATCTTCATACAACAGACACACGAGTATTTACATGAGAAGTTACTCCAGAGGGCGCCAACAATAACAGAGAGGTCGAAAAGGGTAAGAACGCCAACGTTTTTGAATTGACACTCCTGTGCTTTATTGCTAAGAGTATGAGCTCAACCTTGTGGGGCTGTGTTGTCAGGTACGTCGAGTGCCAGGTTCCAGCGGTCGCCTGCATAAAACGGAGGACGGTGAGTGGGAGTGGAGTGACGACGAGCTCGATGAAGAAAGTGAAGAAGGCAAATTAGCTGTTGCTGCCTTAAGGGTGAGAGAAACATGCAGCCCTGTTCCCCCCCCCCCCACATACACATCCATTTATTACACTTCACATTTCCTCTTTTCATCACTCAAAGTATTGTCATGTCTGTGCATTAGCATGTTTGTCCATTGTCTTTCCACTGAGTCTCCTGTGTGTGTTTTCGGCCAAGGAGCAGCAGGTGAAGCCTGTTAGCGCCACCAGGCGACAAGTGCGCTTCTCCCTCCCGCTCGAGTTGCCTGCAGCCAGGGTTGTTCACTTGTCAACACAATACAGATGGCATTCCCCTAACAAGGAAGGACTCTCTTTAGGGAGCACGTGGTCTGTAGAAAGGGCAGAAATGAGCTTATAGGAAGAAGTGTGGAGAAACAAGCAAATGACAACAAATGTTGTAGTGTGTTAGTTGTAATGTGTACACGCATTTATGGTTATCTTTACAGTTGGGGATCAGGTGTTATCTTGAATTTTTGTTCAATAAGCACTTTAAAGGTCTTTAGTGGGAGGATAAACCTTATCAGAGTAGATCTCCTCACAGTCGAGCTCTTATCTTCCAGATAGTAGCGATTAGAGTTTCATGCATTATATAACTTTGCAAATCAGAAGACAAATGTAATTATCAAACTAAGTTTTGTGATTGGTCTGTTTTAAAGGGAACGTTACAAAATGATTTATCAGCACAGGGAGAATTGGACCCACAATTGAAGAGTTTGGGGCCGTGTTAGTCTGTAGATTTTGACTGATATCGCCCATTACAAGAATTTAAGTTTATTAAATTCTTATATGTACTTGTTCTTCCTCAAAAGATATAAAGAACATGCAGGTACCGCTACTTGGTTCCTGTTTACAGGTTTATAACGTCAAATCAGTGATCTCAATCAAATGTTTTATGAGATATGAGAGTTACCTTCCTGGAAGCCATCTGTATTTCTTTTTCTACTTTTCAATCATCCTTAATTTATACTGATCAAATTTAATCAATAAAAGCAAATTTCTTATCAAACCATGTTAATGAGTTATCAGCGTTAACGAGTAAAGGGATTCAAATTGGACATCATCTTAGCTGCTATGATGCTGTTTAATGAGGCAAACTGAACCGAAGATTCTCCCACCTACTTTAAAGTATAGTATGTTGAACTGATGCCTGTTTGCACGAACTGAGGCACGATTTGCTCATTCCTCCCTCTAAACAAAGACACATGCTGTCAGACTACAGAGGACGCTGCGCACCAGAGTGTTCTATCTGTGTGCTGACACGGTCTCTGAAGTAACTGCCTGAATGCGCAGCCACTCTGTCGGAATCAAACGTCAGGTTCCTGAGCTGATTTGATATCTGACACCAGCCACACATCACATCGCTTCAGTTTGTCCTCACGTGTGTCTCACTCCACGTTCTTTGGTGTGTTTGCCTTTTAAATTGAATTGTGCTTCGATTTGTTTTCCGCACGTTGACATTGTGACCATATAACAGTGTGACCTTCACTTTCTTTTTGTAATCACTTTTTTTGCATCTTTCTGCTTTTGGCAATCTTAAACAAAAGCTGCCAACAAACAAAATGAATTTTCACTCGTTTCGACTTAATCACCAGCACCTAGAACAGAGCAACAGGGCAATCCAATCTGTGAGCACTAGGAGAGTCCTTCTCACGGTTTATGTCTTCTGAAAATTGCTTTTGTTTATTGCTCATCCATTGAATTACATACTTAGTAGAACAATCACTCTACTTCATCACATTGATTCAAAACATTCTTTCCCATAAATCCGGCCTTATTATTGATTTGCAGTATTCTTTGAAATAGCTTCATGTAAGCAGAGATTTTGAAGTTATTGCTCTCCATGCTGACATTAGAAATCTCTTCTGTCGTATCGCACTTTAATTTCAGCCCCAGTCAGAGACAGTCACTGCATCAAATCACAGTGTCCACCTTAAAGGAGATATAGACTCAGCAGGTGTAGAAGTGAGGAAAGTAAACGAGTGTGCGGTTTTATTCTGTTTACCTCTCATGCTTTCTGTGTGTTTTTTTTGCATCCGTGCATGCTCTCTATGCATCACTAAAGCTGTCGCCTACATATTCTTGTCTGAGCTCTACTCTTACTGTCTTCAACAGTCTCCCAGAGTGAAGGAGGGATCCCAGAACTCAGAGGTGAGTTTCACTTTTCTTTACACTTCACTGAACTTAATTAATTCCAGACAATTTACAGATTCATGATTTGTTTCGGTCTTGTAAAAAGGGGGAAAAAAAGCATCCAATTTATGTAATTAGCAAGTATGTCGGCAGCTTATCTAAATTGAGGAAGTGGACCTTGAGTTAAGATTATTTTATGAGACAAATATTTACCTTTTTGTTAATATGTTTGATGACAATGTGCAAGGACTGGAGACTCCCACAGTTTACAAACTATCCTCTGACCACAAGCCAGCGGTGTGAATGTTGTTTCAGACATGCAGGAGAAGCTACTGTGAACAGTGCAGGGGTGAGACAACATGTCCATACAGCAATATATCGTCTTCCTGAGTCGTTATGGTGTCGCTGGGACCAAATATCCATTTATTTCTTTTTTGTTAATACAGCGCTCTAAGCAGATTTTCCTGCCAATTCTCACCATGTCACTACTTCATGACAACCCTGCGCTCTACCTTTTGTAGAAGCATTTCATATTCTTCAGTTAACCACATGTGATGTATCAAAATGTGATTGTCTTGCAGTATATGAATTATCACAGAATTGCTGTGTTGTGAGTTACTCCTGAGTTATTCTCACCCCGAGAACAGTGCGCTACATTTTCATCCCTCTTTGGATGAAATATTAACAGGTAGTTGTTTTAATTAATCACTCAAAGGCTGCTCTGTGTTTGATTATATCTGCCAGGTTTTCCAGACTCCTGAGCCTTTAAGTAGTCAACCCCAGCCGGCCGCCACAGGTCAGGCAGAACTACCTCAGGCTGTAGGCCAGGTTCCACTGCAGCCCACACCAGTCAACACTCAATCCACTGCCCAGGCTGCATCTCCCACACCAGGCATTCCCACTGCTGCTGCTCTCACACAGGTCAAACAGCAGTTTCTTTAAGACTTCAGATTAGTCTGCACACCTGATGCTCACTCATTTCCATACTATATCTTATATCTTCTTATAGTCCTTTTATACATGGGAACAATATTTTCAAGCTCATATTCTCCTCAAATCAAACATCATCTTCTGTTCTTTGACAGGTTTCAGCCGGCATGGGAGATTCAAAGGCTCCCATTAGTTTGGTATTAAGGTTAAGGTATGTTTCTCCATTACCACATCAAAACCATGAAAGTTCTTATGCTTTTTTATAATATATAGAAGTGTTTACAGACTTTTGGATCCTGCTGAATGCATTTTCAGTTCAGTGAAAAGAGTCAATAACGTTGTACAATGATGGATCTTAACGCGCCTGATCCGGTCTCTTCTCACAATACTCCACAGGAATTCAAAGAAGGAGCTAAACGATATCCGCTTTGAATTCATGCCAGGGAGAGGTGCGTAGAGTTGCTCTTTTTTTAAGAATCAAAACCAAACCTCTATTGTCGAGTATTTAAAAAAAAAAAAAAAAAAGTGTCTTACCATTTTGTGTAATCATTAAGGGAACCTGACGATGTTCTGCTGCTGTGCTTTTTACAGACACAGCAGATGGCGTGTCACAGGAGCTGGTGTCAGCAGGCCTGGTGGATGGGAGAGACTTAGTAATAGGTCAGTGATAAAACCATTCCTCTGCTCTTACACATAAGAACATTTACACCCCCCCCCCCCTTAGAAGACTAGAAAAAATCAATGCATCATATTATTAAATGTTTGCTTTCACTGTCTCATATTCCTTCTCAACACAAACACAATGACGTTATTTTGCTCCATTTCACTGAAACGCTGTCTTTCTTTGACAGTTGCTGCAAATTTGCAGAAAATAGTTGATGAACCTCAAGCCAATAAAAATGTCACTTTCAAACTGGTGAGTCTTTAACTTTCATTTGATTAAACTTTTTTTCTGAAGTCATTTGTAGGAAATGGATTGTGGTTGTACTTGTTTGTAGGTGCGATTGTGATGCAGCACAAGAGAGAATTCTTAGTATGTTTTTTAAGAAGATCTGGCAGAAAGTGTTGGTCTGCAACATTTCCAGACTCAGTCTAGTTGTATCGAGGGAACAAAAGAAATGGTTTGCTTGACCTTTTAAATAGTAGAACTGTTGTATAAATACAAAATCAGACTTAAGGTCCTGCGTTGCAATGAGAGTTAGCAGAGGTGTGATCATTTCCGACACACACTCCACGGCCTTTTGTCTATTACCCAATCAAAGCCGAGCTGACGGTCAGTACAAGTGTGATACTGCTAAAGTAAAACATGTTCATCATTGTCTCACACTGTTATGAAATGCACTTTTGATTATAATTTGCCACTCAATGACGACATGTTTTTTTCCTCACTGTTTGTTTCCACAGGCTTCTGGAACAGAGGGATCTGAAATTCCAGATGACGTTAAACTGATGGGCTTTGCTCAGCTCAGCATTAGTTAAACCCTTGTTCTACCTGGGACCGTGACTTGCCTAAAAAAATGTGAAAATTAAAAAAAAAAAAAAAAAACACACAAAAAAAAAAGATAGTTTATTGCATATTTTCTTTCTATGGCTGTAAAGAAACCACTACTGCCAAAGAAAAGCGTACCGTTGAGTCACCCATAGGATCCTTCAACACGGCCTCTTTGAATGGTTGTACCAGAGCGACCAGTATCAGAATCCAATAAAAGAAGTTTACAGCCTATATGTAGAAGGATGCAAGTATGTTCAACAGACAGTTTTCATTTAGCATTCTGGTCTTCCTCATTCTGTTGTCGTTCTTCTCTAATATGTGATGCATTTGCACAATCTGAAACTAATGCCCTTGAATCCTAATAAATGTAACAATGCCTTATATTCATCAGAACTACTGAATGCACGTTTTGGGGGACAGTCCCCCACTTTACCATATGGAGCATTATGTTATCTGAAAACGTACTATGAGGTTTCAGTTGCTCATGTCAAACTTTGTACTTATTGTGAGAGCAGAGAGAATGAGGCTTATGAAGTGGAGTAGAATTCAAATGATTGGAACTCGTCCCCCATTTCTTACCCTCAACCAGTGTCATGTAGCGACAGAAGAACCTCATGTTTGTGTGCACGTCTCTTTTCTTTCTCATTCACCTGAACGCAGCATCAGGCCTATTCTTGACAGAGAGATACATTACAATGAATCTCAAATATATGATTTTATAATGAACATGCATTCAATGAAGCAATGTACTGGTAATGTTAATGCACTTAATGAATGTTTGACGCTACTCAAACACAAGTGAAGTCATTTTACACATTCTGTCCTCTGGTGAGTGTTATCAGAAACATGGCGGTTTGTTTTGGATTGGCTCAAATTAAACTACACTTCCCATGTTCCACTTTATTGAAGTCGTGGGTCATCCAGTGCCTTTAAGGCAATGGATGCTCATAACACTGAATAGAAAACTACTCTTTCAGACTGTCCATACACAACCATGGATTGTTTCTTCTTTGCATGGTAAGAAAATACTAAACCTTTTTAGAATTAGTTAAAAATAGTGACCCAGTTATACAACTAAAACGATTTTCAAAAAAAAAAAACACTTGTCCTAATTGACCGTGAGGTCATGCTCGTTTGTGTTGAAGTAATTATAGTAATGGTCATTCAGACATAATGTAGCAAAAGATCCAGAAAGACAAAAACAATCTGCTCCTTTCAAAGTGAGTCAAAGATGAAAGAGCAGCTGACACCTCGTATGAGCAGACGTGTCTGTTGCTATCAGTTCATGTCTGTTTAGAGTCTCTCCTTAAGAAAAAAAAACTGAAGTGCATTTTTTGTTCACGTGGATGAAACATAAGTACTTGATTTAACTTCTAATGTGTACATAACATTTGGCTTTGATTTGTTTTTATACTTGGTGTTTCACTCTTGGCCTTTTTTCTGTCCTACGATGACACGACACGATGGCGGGTTGTAGCGCTGTGTGAAGGAAAATGACGACGCTGCAAATTTGGCTTTGACTTCTCTTCTGTCCGTAACATACAGTCACTCAACTCTGTGTCATTTGTGACGCTCATTTACCTATACTTGTAAAGCTTCTCACTTTTTGCCTTTGAGAGTTGATCTTATTCGACTTTGAAGCAACCGTACCGACACATTGCTCTACTGCTGTCCAACTTAAAATATCACCCAATTCTGAGCCAAGTTACCGGGAAAAAATAAAAATGTCTCCACTTCTTCCAAAGTGGAGGCCGTTTACAGAACCCATGTATAATGAAGTCATACAGATGCTTTATCGCTCGTTAACGTTTTCTTTTTTTTAAACAGCTCAATTGAATATTAAACGTCCTCCTGTTCAAGAAAACATAACTCATCTAAGTTTGTGGACAGTTTGAAAGATGAGCAAATGTGGTCAGGCCTTGACTTAAAAGGCTTTTATCATTGCAAACGACACATGCCCTCAAAACAACACACATGTTTATGTGTGCATTAGGAGATGATAACGAATGTGAATGTTAGTTATTGACACAGACTGACACTCTGCTCAGTTTTACTGTTTCATCTGGTCCTGAGATAAAGTCAGTCCTCTCCTGATGCCATATTGAATGAAAATTTATTTCTTGCTTTCAGACAAATTTTCAAAGAAAGTCGTTGTATTTTGACTTGTTAAATTTTACGCTAGCCTTAAATTGACCAAGTGTATTGTTTTTTTTTTTTGTTGTTTTTTTTTTGACATAGCGTGAAGGTTTGAATCCAGCTGTCCAGTGTCTTTGAGTTCTAGTTCTTGTTACATGTTGAAGAAAGCCTACCTAAAATGAACATGTGTGTTTTCCTCAAACTGGGAGCTACAAAGTCAGCAACCCAATGTTAGCTTCTAGTATTTGGTGCCATCTTCCTGCTTTAGTCTGCAGCTGATGAGCAGACGAGGACAGGATACGTTTGAACGAGCCCTGAGAGAATGTGTGTGTGTGTTGCATAGATTGAGCCCTGCTTCTAACAGAGATTATATGTTCTCATCCTTTCTCCAACAGTCTCTCTCTCTCTCTCTTTCCTGCTTACATGTAGTCCAACAAAGCTGTAGCAACTGAACAGATGACCGGCAAAAAAAAAAAACGTTAGTCCAGGCAATAACTCATCAAGGCTGTAAAATATTTCAATTCACTTGTTTTCGGTTCTCTTCTGTTTCACTCTTTAATTTGCTCTATTTTGGATCGTTTTGGAGTTCACAGCATGTTTCTCTTGATTATTTTTAATCAATAAAGAATAAGCATATCAAACGACTCTTATCCCTGAGTATTCTTATTATACATTACCAAGAACAACAAGAGCCAGTCACTTTACTAAACTAAACCCCAGAGCAGAGTTGGTGCTTTGCCTTTGTGCCTTCTTAATGTCTGTTGTCTTCTATGATGATATTTCCTATTTTATTGCTTTTCACTGTTTCAAATGGAAGGATTTCTTCCTCTGTCTCGCTGTCTTCATCTTTATTATTCTTCTTATCTGTGAGCCCGACTACGATGGTCCATTTACAACCCCTTCACTCAGAGAAAGTCGTGCTGTTTACTTCCTGCCTTGTAAACATTGAAGTGTCAATAAAAGTGATTTATGAAACTGGTTGAGAAAGTAGGAGGACTTACCCTAACCCTGAAGAGACAAACTTTGGTTTAAGTGAGAGAGTCAGTAAAACAGAAGGACATTCATCCTGACCTTCAGTCTCCAAAGTTCAAAAACTCTGGATCCTACATTCCCCATAATGCACCTCAAAATTGTCTCTTGGTTATATACTTTGGTGTTTAATCCTAAATGTTTAATCTCTGATCTCCTAATCAAAGATTAACCCTGGTGACATTGCCAATGGTTTATTGTCTTGAATGACCTCCTAAAAAGTAACACATTATATTCAATATTATGATGACACTTTAATATTCACTGTTAACTAGTTGCTTATTAGCGTGCTAATTAGTAGCTTACTGGCTGCTCATTAGTGCCTTACTCTATATGATCATAAAGAGAGCAAATAGACCATAAAATAAGAGTTTGCCCTCCTCATTACTGCTTATTGAAAGTAAATTAGGAGCTTGTTGAACATGAATTATGATCTTAATATGCCTTTGCTTACAGTTTGATGATTATAGGTCAATATGGAGGATATGTGGAGGACAAACAGTTGTGTGATCATACCTGAGTTGGACTGGTCGAGGACTGCATACATGGCATCATCCTCAGTGTCATTGGCCTCTACCGGCTGGGTGTATTTACACGTGACCTCATTATTTAATAACTTTACAAGTGTTTTCAGCCAGTGGTCGTTGAGTGTGGGTGACAAAATGAAACTAAAACACTCACATTAAAAAAAAAAAACACCCAACTCTAAACCAAAATCTAACAACACAGTACAAGTAAGGGACCATTGTTTAGCTGATTCTTTATTCTAAACGGATGTTTGCAGTGTCTCTGTGAGGTTACGTAACCCCCAGGAACTTGTTATTTTCCTCTCTATTTTGCCTTGGCTCACGCCTTCCAGTTATTAATTTCAATGTAACTCCTGTCACTGTTTGACATTGAGATATAAGAACAAATGGTGGACCACCAGTGGCAATGCTGTCTTCTTTTTGCAAAAATTTAAGGAAGATTTTTTCTTTGCACATCTTGGACATCATATTTGAAAGACTTTAGCATACTTATATTTCTAAAGAGTTGGTGGTTTGGTGATTATGGCGGAACTTCTTTTTATTAGATCAAACATTCAATATGGTCTGTGAGAACAATATGATACACTTGTAATGTGTTGTTTTATCTATTAGTATTAGATTACATGGAGGACATGGAGCTGGACAGCTGAACAACCGCTGGACTTCAGCCTGAGAGATTCTTACATCACATATTAAAATGTTGGTATTCTGTTTGTAAGCAGGTTGTAAAAACACTGTGATTGTCAGTTTACTCATTAACTTTCCTGACAGCGTCACGTTGGCTGTCAGCGACTGGACGTTGTCTAGATCTGATCCTTTTGCTTGTTCTATGCAGCACTCCAGATACAAATATGAGTAACTTTGGGCAGATCCTAAAGGAGATCGGGGAGTTTGGGTTATTTCAGAAACGTTTGGTGGCTGCATTATGCATCCCTACTATCTTTACAGCCTTTGATGTGATCTGTCAGGTGTTCACAGGCCTGAACTTCCCACATCACTGTAACACTGACTGGATCCTGAAGCAAGGGCCGAACCTGACGGAAGAGAGACAAAGAAATCTCACCCTCCCTGTGAACAAAGATGGGAAGTATGAAAGCTGCAGAATGTTCACACCTGTGGATTTGGATTTGGAGACCATTGAAGCGTATGGGATTAACAGAACAACGGGATGCATTGATGGGTTAAATTATGAGACACCCATAGGTGCCTCCAGCATTGTTACAGAGGTAAGAGAAACTATTGTATATATTTTTATATAAAAGCAGCTTAGTGTACCATTTCACTTAATATATATTTCCTTCATTCTTGTGATTGATATGATGTTTTTTTTTATAAATTTACACTTTTTCTGGCTAGTCTTAATTTGTCTTAAATATATTGGGGAAAAAATTGCTGAAGTATTCATAGTTTATGAAGCAGGAATGATTAAATGGCTACTAAGGATCTTAGCAGCTGCTCTGTGTTTTTGTCCCTTCAGGGCAACCATACTTTAAAAAAAAAAACCATTTCATAATGGCGTGTGCGGTGTATTAGTGGTGCATGCGTCTTGTCAGGTTTACTCGGGTATATTTGTCACCTTGTGATGAAAATCACACCTATAGAGTGATTTATTAATACATTTCTAGAGTAGAAATGTCAAAATAGAACAAATTGCATTATACTACAATTAAAAATAAGTCATATGATGGGATCATTAAAAAAAAACTTTGATTTAGCACAAGCTTAGTTAAATGTAAAATTGTATTGTGGAACACTGAAGTTGCAACGTTTTTTTTTTTCAATGGTCTTCTTCCACCATACTGTCTGTTATTAGTTCGACCTGGTGTGTGACAGGAGCAGTTTGATTGAAGCGTCACAGTCCGTCTACATGGCTGGTCTTCTGGTTGGAGCCCTGGTGTTGGGGCAGATGGCTGACAGGTACACATGCACTTCCATTTGCACTCCAAGTACTATGTATCATCTTCTATCAGTAGAACTTTAATTATAATATGGCTCAAGAAGCAGAACCAACTTTGGTTTTTGCAACCTTTACATACTCAAGTGTAACAACTATCTCTCTCTTAATTTAGTGTTTTCTTATTTGGCAGATCACTAGTCACATGCACATTCATAATATGCGTGGTCAAAGTTCTGGGACCTTTGTCTCCGGAAGTTCTTTGCATCCTCCGTTACTTGGATGAGGTGTTGGTACGTACGTGTTTGAAGGATAATGCTGCTTTATTGTGGTACACCTCAAATCACTGTTAGAGCTGGGGACACTGGGTCTGACCCCTTGAGTTTGAAATATGTAATGTGGAGAGAAGCCCATGATACCCTTGGGGATACATTCACAACATCTTACATTCATGCCAGATATAAGTACCAAACAATTCCTCTATTTGTTTTGTAGGTTTGGTCGACGCTTTGTGGTCCTGCTTTCTCACTTTCTCCTGCTGTTGTTCGGCGTCGGGGCTGGCTTCTCACCCAACATCTATGTCTATATCGTGCTCAAATTTTTTGGAGGCATTGCTATTTCAGGCATTGTTGCTAATGCATTTGTGATAGGTAGGTGAAATGTTCACAATCAAACATTTCTTTCTGTCTAGTTCTGTACTTAGACCATTGGTTGCCTGGGCTTCAGAATTCTCTCTTTTTTGGAAGTGCTCTACTATTTCAAGAGCGTAACCGTTTAAAAAAATGTACGTTCAAATGATAGATTTTCTGTCTACAGCTAACTTAAGCTAATGCAGTTTCTGTGTGTATTTTGAAGGTGGAGAGTGGAGTGCGTCCTCCAAGTTTGCTTTCTGCACCATTATCTGCCATTCTTTTTTCCCTCTTGGACTGATGATGCTGTCTGGCATTGCCTATTTCATCCGCAACTGGAGGATCCTGCAGTTTGTACTCTTCAGCCCACTTCTTCCTGTCCTGGGAATATTTTACTGGTTAGCAGCCTCTCATGCAATTTGACTCTTAGTTTCTATGATGATGATAATCTTCTTTTTAGCCATAGACAACATTATATAAAGAGTTTGTTATAATGCCCTATCCCATATATAATTTAGCGTTCTTCCAGAGTCAGCTCGCTGGCTAATCACGCAGGGAAGGAAGAAGGAGGCCATAAAGGCGGTCCGGAGGGCAGCCAAGGTGAATGGGAGGAAGGTCCCAGAAGATCTGCTAAATCAGGTAAATTGAATCAAACACACCTTTGCTTCAACCTAATCCAAACACTTTAAAGCTCTGATATACATGTACACCTACATTACCAAGATGGAGGTTGAGGAAACATCCAAAAGAGGAAACATGTTGGATATCTTCAAGATACCATATCTCAGAAAACGGGCTCTAATTATGAGCTACATGTGGTGAGTATTCATTCCAATCACAAACTGCTGCCACATCTACATACAGCTATGCACTTGTTCCTGCACTTATGATACTTGTTCAACTCTGTTAATAGGTTTAGCACGAGTCTGATGTACTATGGACTGAGCCTGAATGTGGGCCATTTTGGTCTGGATATCTTCCTCACACAATTCATCTTTGGTTTAGTAGAACTCCCCGCACGTCTGGGGACGTTGCCTCTTATCCAACGCTTTGGGAGAAAAATATGTCAAGCAGTGTTTTTGTTTTTTGGAGGTGCTGCTTGTCTTGGGATACTTGCCATACCTAAAGGTAACTCGCTGTCTAATAATAGAAGTAATGTTGCATTTTTAATCTGTCTTGAATGCAGCTTTATGCGATTCTTGAAAACTGGATGAGCTGATGTTGACCCTGAAGATAGAGATTCAACAACTTTTCAGGAAGCACATTTAAAACAAGTTTTGGAAAATTGTTGCTAAAAGGTTTAGAAATTCACAAAAATGTTAATGAAGAAGTCCAAAATACCTGAAAGTGTATAATGCAAGTTTCAGAATGTTCAGAAATTTCTCAAAAATGTATGATGAAAGTTTCAACCAAAAAATACTCAAATTTGTACCAACGTCTCTGAAAATATAAGAACATTTCCAATAAAAAGGGCTGAAATTTCCATGAAGGTTCCTGAGAAATTCTGATAATTTCCTGTGAAATTGAAAGAAAATATTTTGAAAACATTTCCAAACAAAGTTTTGA